TATTTGAATTGAAAGTATCAGTATAAACTTATGATGTACTTCTTTAAAAAAAGCATTTCTAGCTCTGTCCATAAAAAGGCCTAAAAATGATTAACCTAGTATCAATAGGCTTCATCCCCAGATATCGGCCTCTAAATATTCTTTCCAATTAAAAAGAATCAGTGCTTCCTAGATAAACTGATGGCCAGAGGTGCGAAAATTAATAAAGGAAACCTCAATTAAAATTGGAGCTGGGAAGGCCTATTACAGGGAGCTCTCAAGTATTATCAGTCATAGCCAATTACGCCAAACAGAAAGACATCAACTGCAGCATCAATTAATTCAGTTACAGACCCACAGCAAACTGAAGACTGTGGGAATATCAATAGGGCAAACATTTATTACAAAGAAAAAGGGAATGGGGAAAGGGAAAGAGAAACCATAAACTAAAAAGAGACTTTTCAGCCCTGGCTGGTGTGGCTCAGTGGACTGAGCGCTGGCCTGTGAACCAAAGGGTCACTGGTTCAATTTCTAGTCAGGGCACATGCCTGAGTTGCAGGCCAGGCTCCCCAGTGATGGATGTGCAAAAGGCAACTACACATTCATGTTTCTCTCCCTCTCTTTCTCCTTCCTTTCCCCTCTGTCTAAAAATAAATTTTAAAAAGATTTTTAAAAATTAAAAGACACTTTTCAATTGATTTGAAAAGTCAACTACAAAAAAAATGTGAAGCACTGAGTAATTCATACATAATTTGGTATTTAATAATATTAAGGAAGTGATAAAGGTATGGTGTTTACATATTTTAAAAGAGTCCTTACTTCGCAGAGATACTGGGTTAGCCAAAAAGCTCACTTAATTTTTTCCATAAAAAAACACCTTTTTTTCATTTTCACCAATAACTTTATTGATTTAGATACTTTGAGTATCTAAATATCTCCCATGTGGTATAATGTTGATTGTTTTCAATTAATGTCTTAATTTTGTCACTATCAACTTCAACTGGTCTACCTGACCACGGAACATTGTCCAGTGCAAAATCTCCAGCACAAAACTTTGAAACCACTTCTGACATGTTCCATCAGTCACAGCACCTTCTCTACACACTGCAAAAATCTTTTCTTGCATTTCAGTTGTATTTTTACCTTTCTTCAAATAATAAAGCATAATACACTGAAAATGTTGGGTATTTTCTTCCATCTTCAATATTAAAATGGATGCACAAAAATTCACCAGTTTTGATAAGTTTTTTAAATGCATGCTGATATGACAGCTGTCACAATATAATCTAACAAAATTGTTTCAAATGAAGTTAAAAGAGAACTAAGCACTGCTAGAGCCATCTTATGGAAAAAAAGAAAAACTTTTTCGCCAACCCAATACGTGTGTGTATGGAAACATTTATGAATAAAACTATGGTGATTATGATTTGCTTCAAAGTAACCCAGTTGGCTGTGAGGTCATAAATGAAACAAGATTAGTTGTAATTTGATAATTTTGAAAGCTAGATGATGAGTACATGGCACTCATTACACTATTTTATCTATATCTTTATATAACTAAAATTTCCCATAATAAAAAATTAGAGGAAAAAAGGGCTAAATTTGGGGTTTGGATAAGTGGGATACGGGTTCAAACATACTTTATTTTTAATGAACCATAAAAGATACTAAGGATGTTCAGGCAGGCTTTTAGTTCTGTGTTCCCAGTGGTCTATCTTGCTGCCAAGTTCCCATGTTAATAGAAAATCTTTAATGAGAATGACAAAAGAAAACAAGAAACAGAAGCAAACACAAACCATCCTAGGAGTTTTTCCTCTAATTTTCCCACAGAGTTTTGGTTTCTTAAAAAAAAGACAAGCAATCAACCTCCTGAAGAGATTAGGGTGACAGGCAAAAAGAATGCTCTGCATTCAGAGAACACTTTAACTTTTTAAAGGTCTTTAATATACACGTGACTATATCATTTGATCTTAACAATAACCTTGTAAAATAGACAGGGAAAATTTCACTTCCCAGAGGAAACCAACACAAAGAAGTTGCAAAACTAGTTAGTAGCAGAAAACAAGTCTTCTCACCCCATTCTAGTGCTTTTTTTCACTAACTGTCCCCTTCCTATTCAATTTAGTTATTCAAAATGGGAATAATGGATGCTCAGATCTCTTTTATTACCACGGAAGTCACAAACACCTGATAAAGTGTGGGTTAGTAAAGATAGTTACTGACAATTTGTTGTCCGTGCTATAGCTCCCAGAAATTTACTTAGTAATTTGGACAGCTCAAAATGGCTTCAGATACCCAAGAATGAGAAATTCTTTTCCTATCAAAAGCCACTGATACTCAAAGGGAAAAGAAAGTCATCAAGAATTTATAAACATTTAGTGTGTGTGTTTGTGTATAGATGTGCATGTTCTGGAAAGTAAGGTACAGAAATAAACATACTAGCAAGGATCCTCTTTTCCAACCTAATAAATTGACACTTATCCTATTATTTACAGATGTCCCAATTTCAATGGAAGTGTAGACTCAGAATCTCTATATACAATGAAAGAACATTTAACTCGTTCATAAATAATTAAATTTGAGATAATTGGATCCTGTACTTTCTCTCATCTGTGCATCCTTGTACTTTTCTCTCATCTGTGCATCCTTTCTCTCATCTGTGCACTCTCATTTACTATCCTGTTGCATGTACTTATTCTGACTCATCAAACATCAGAACAGGAATAAACAAGGCAATCTTGAAGCCTGGGCCTGCTGACAGATGCTACACCTAGGAAATCATCTTTCAAGTCCAACAGTGAATACTCAAGGGTTTTGGGATTACCTGCTGCAATTACCGTACTTGCTCCTGATAAAAGCTGGCAGACATGTATCCAAAGTTCCTAGATGAAGGGTGTCATCAGTAGATTTAAGCCCCTCTGAAGACCCAGGTATTTTCACTTCTATCTGAAAGTATGTTATACTGACTGCTGAGTATCTGTCTTTTACAATTACAGAAACTTCACACTCTCAAACTGTCAGATGACTCTGTCAGTGTAGTATCACTGTCCTGATACGACAACCATGCTACAAGCAACTATCCGCAATATTAATTATTTCAAATCACTACAGCCTTCTCTTAGAAAGTACTACCCACTTAGGTGTTCTCCCTAAGATGTGTGAAATCCAAACTGAAGTAACCTCACTGCCAATAAAATATCTAGACAACATGGGCTTATTTGAGAAGAGATAGCTTAACATACGTATCATCTTTCTAGTACTTTCTCTGTAGGATCATTTAGAGATGGAGTTTGGAATAGAATTGTCATTTGTGGATCCCCTATTGTGTGCCACAAATTGTGGTAGCTAATTTATAAATCTCTCATTTAATCCTAACAACTCTTTGAGATATTTTTGTCATTAATGTCTCTTCACCAATGAAGAAATGAAGACTCAGGGATGTTGAGTGACTTCAGTCCAAAGTCTTAAATTTACTACATGGCACAGCCAAAAGGTGAACCCAAATCAGTACAAATATCTTTATGACTCGTTTCTTACCATTTTATTTGCTTTCCAAAGGAGTTGAACTAACTTGTAATGATACTAGAAACAAGGGTACTCAACTTCAATATTTTTTGTGAGAAAACTGATGGCTTTAACATACAACAGGACTGCCATGCCTGGAACCAAATTACTATATTAAACCAATACCCACACTCATATATCCTAATCTGAAAATCAGTATCAAGTCTCCCTTATTAGTTAGGCTTTGTGTGCTCAGAGGAAAAGCAGAAAATGTTCCGTTTACCCTCCGAAACATCTTCAAATATTTGGAGTATATAAGATGCCCTCCACATTTCTAAATCTATAAATAATAATCTTTCTACAAATTTTCCCAGGCAGATTTATATTAGTCTACTTGGAAGAAATGAACCTTTGAGTTATATTATAAAATGAAGAATTCCAAAATATGTAGGCTTCAATTTGCTGAAAGCACTGTAACAATGGATTAAAGACTAAAGTACAAAACATTCTCTGTAAATTATATGTATTATATAGCCACAATAATATGAAAATATGGGTAAATGATAAAGGCTATCACTTTTAGAGTTCTTACTATGTGCCAAGTACTTTATACACATTTTCATTTTGTACCTTACGAAAGCTTATATGAGTATTCCACTGTACAAGCAAAGAAACAAACTATGGTAAGGCAAGTTCATATAACCTGCCAGCTAGAAAGTGATAGAGCTGAAATTCAAAGCCAGGTCTATCCAAATACAAAACCCTGCTCCTTACTGCCACCGTCTACTGCCTCCTTGTTCTTATCTGGTAAACATATCTTTGTCCACAATTCTAAAGCCAGTATAGAAATATGTACATACCTATTAAACCTATTAACTATATTCATTAATTTGTCATAGTTTCTAAAGTAAAATTATTAAAAGTGCCAAAAATTACTGTTAAAAAACTTGAAGTAAATTTTCATAAAATCCTGAGAACTAAGAACAGATAATTCACACATCAAAAAAATTTTGTTGCTTCACAGTTACTCTTCCTAAAAACAAAAAAAATTAAAGTAAACATGGTAAGGCCAGAAAATCATTTTAAACATTTAAGAAAATTCAAATATTATAAACTACTACCCTTAAGGCTGAACAACAGAACTCATTTTTCTAAATCATGTTACCATCAATACTTAATGACTAAATTATGAATATTATATTTAAAGTTTTATTATCAACCAAATTACATTAAAGATGTAATCAAAACTTGGGAAATTTTAAACATCTAAATGGCTATTTTCTACCAGGGTGTGTTTCAAACTTCTTTATAAAAGTATGTCTAAAAAATTAAGTCAGGTAACACTCCCCAAACATCAATTCTTCAAACTGTTAAGAGTTTGAACTTAAATATAGAACTTTTTAATATGTAAGATATAGTTTAAAATAACATATTTTTTCTCTGTTATTTACCAGATTAGTTAACAGGACAATATAAGAATCATTTTCTAAGATATGTCAAAGAATAGATTATCTTACCTCCATCGCTAGAGCTGCTGTCTGTTGGTCATAATGATTCAGAAGATTAGGCATGAAGGTAGTATTATAAGGCAAATCTTGGCACATCCTCAAAGTAATAGGTTCACAAGAAAACAAACTGTGCCCACTCATATGCCCCACAAACATAGTCAAGGGCCAAAGGCAGGAGACGATCCAACTCTTAGCCATCTTTCTTGGATCTGAATGAGATTTGGATGATCCAGGCCTACTCAATATGTATTTTAGGTCTCTGTACACCTGCAGGTCTCAGCTTGAAGAAGTACTTCTTCTATATCTTACTATTAAGTTCTTCACACAGTTAAATACTCTTTGCACTGTCAGAGGTTTGTTAGTTTGGTCTCACAAAAGGCATCTGTTTTTGGTTTCACAATACAGGAAAATGACATCATCTTGTCTCTTCTTTTCATTTTATTACATAGGGCACATTTGGCCAATATACCAAGTTGATCAACCACATTCCCAAACAACAGATTCCATCTTAGGAGAAGAGCTATTTCTTCCTTTGATTGAAATATCTGAAAATTATTTTTTAAATGGGAGAAATTAGTCATTTCCTCTCAAAATACTGTATATAAAATTTTTGATGAGCTCAATAATTTTGCAGGATATAAAATCAACATACAAAATAGTTGTTTTTATATACCAACAATTAACTATCAAAAAGAGAAATAACCTTTTATGAGAGATAGGATACTGACCTAATAGAGAAGATACATAGGTATTGAATAAAGATATTGTATAATTTTTCTACTTTATCATTTATGGTATATATTATAACATCATTTAACATATAAAATAATATTAAGCCCTGGCTGGTGTAGCTCAGTGGATTGAGCACAGGCCTGTGAAGCAGAGGGTCACGGGTTCAATTCCCAGTCGGGGCACATGCCTGGGTTGCGGGCCAGGTCCCCAGTGGGGGACACATGAGAGGCAACCACACACTGATGTTTCTTTCGCCTTCCCTTCCCCTCTCTCTAAAGCCAAATAAATAAAATATTTTTTAAAAATAAAAAATACTATTAAATGGCAACTGTAACTGAAAAATTTTTTAAAAAACCAACATTTAAAGGCATTTTTTCCTCCCTTCAGTTGTTTATATAACATATGGTTTAATTTGTTTATACTGATAGCAATTTTCATTTACCACAAGCTGTAACTGATCCATTTTGGAAAGTTTTCAAGCTGTTATTCTAAATTTTATTTAAATAGCTGCCATACTTATAACCTAAGCTATTAAATTTAAAATTTATTTTATGTGTTTTAATCATTAATAGCACATTTTTACATTAATTGATTTGGCAAAAGGTATCCAAAAGAGAGAAAATACAAATAAAACAAAAAAATGTGGATTCAAGCCCCATAGTAGCTGTGTGAATTAAAACATATCATTTAACTTCTCTGAACTCAGAATTTTCTTTCTGAAAATACCATCTCTCTAGCAAGAATGACATAGAAGTGAATTATAAGGGAATGTATATAAAAGTATAAATGATAAAGCAGCACCAAACATTAGGTATTGTTTAAACTGAATTACATTTTATACAAAGACTACCTTTATCAACCAATATTGGTCTGGCAAATAGAAAGCTCTAAAGTAACATCAGAAAATTTTCCCAACATTGCATCATCTTTTTAGATAGCACAAAAATTTAGTACCACACACAGACGCAGAAATATTTGATCAACAAATATTTCATTACGTACAGCCAGGCAGCAAAGAATAGAAATCATCCCTATAAAGTCAAAGTAGGAATAAAAATGGTTCCCAGTTAGTTTCCACTAAGCTTCAGAACCTTTGACTTGTCCGTATTTTTCTAGGGGCAAAAATACTTAAGTCATTTGGGGATGGGAGATTATGGGTGGACTGGAAGGCAGGTCTGGTAGGAAAAAAGTATATTCTAAGTTATAATACTTTCATTTGGCTTAGTGAGGTTAAATTTGCTTTTATTTCATTTTATTTTTGTTTCATATGCATTGGATATTTCTATGTTTGTTGTAGAGAGCCTAGTTTGGAAAAACATGAGAAATTCAGGTTGACAAATTCTCAGAGACCAAGGTTAACTAGACAACCTAAACATTAGGACTCATAACAGCTTACACCTTAAGACCTGGAACTGGTTTGGCTTAAGTAGGGCAAGAAACTATCCTGTGTGTACTATCAATGATTGGGAGCTCTGCATCTAAATTCTGAGTTACTTAGCAGAAAAAACTATTTGGACAAAGTAAAGGAATGACCGAATCTTCCCAATTTCTCTCTCTAGTAGATGGTCTTGAGTAGTGGAAGAAAAAAGGCAAGTCTGTGGCCTCTAGAATTAGTGACACTAAAGTTATGACTATTCCCTGCCCCAAATGCCTAATCTCTCTATACCAAAATCTCTGAATCAGAAATCTCTGTAAGGGTTGCTTGGCCTGCCATATTTTCTTTCCTCCTTCAAGCTGGCCCCAGAAATATGAAGTCTGGCTGTAGAAAAATGATATTAAACAGTCATTTATATTTAAGCTTAATGACCATGCTGCATAGTAACAATTATGCATATCATTAAACACGTGTCAAGTAACTGCTGAAAGCTTTATGTGGTTATAGCACTGAAACATCCATCTAAGTTCAGTCTTTGTAGTTTGTTGCTTGTATAGCGTGTTCAACTGCTTGCAACTAAAAAAAATTAAAGGGAACATTGCTCCCTATTAAATATGTATATAATAATAATTATTATTATATACAAATACTTGAAGTATTTGGAGTATATCAAATACTTCACTGGACAAATCTATTTTTTCAAGAAATGATGGGTTTCAAATTTATGGTTCAAAGAGGACTATCATATAAAACTTGAGGAAGAAGCAGCAATACCTCATTGGGTCTTTAAAACTAGGTAAGACATCCCCTTAACACTTTTTCCTACTCCGTCTATTTTACTTGGTTTATTCTCAATTATTCCTTTTGTCTAATTTGGATGTAAAACTTCCCACCATATTATAAGCTTTCTTTATGTCCTAAGAAACCCATATTACCTTATGTCAAAATTTTTGTAAACTCTATTATGTTAGTGTGGGTGAGGACAATAATCTTAATATATCAAGAATACAGTTTATGATTATTAAAATAGGTAAGAAAAAAGTCAAATGCAGTGAGACAAAAAATAAGAACTGTAGAAATATTAAAGAATTTATATGTCCCCCAAATCAGAGGGTCTCTAATTTTAATGTATAGGAGATGCATAGATTCTCCCCATAGGTCTAAGAAACCTGAATCTCTATACCAAGGCACACATTCTAACGATTATCTCAGGTACTGTTACAAGAGCTCTGTAAGTCACGTTTTAGGACATGCTATCCTGAAATAGAATAATTTAAGAAAGTGTAAGTATATGTGAATATAATTATATGCTTAGCAAAAATAATACATAAAATGAATTAAAAATAAAGCAGCTAAAGAATAATATTTTAATAGAAAGATGGGAAAAGGACATGAATTTACAAAAGAAATACAAATAACCAACACATCAAAATATATATTCAACTCAACTAATAACAAAAGGCACAAATACGAGATTTTCAATACTGAAAAAAATCGTATCACCATCAGCTGAATCAAATGGTATACACATCTTTAAAAACACTTTTGTGTGTATTTCAAATTACTCTTCAATAACATAATGAAATATCTGCCTCTAATCAGGATCATGTGGGTAGCAAAAGTTATTTTTCAAAAGGAAGGGTCATCAGCAGAAAAGCTGTAAGTTGAAGTAGGCACGTAGGTCATAGATTCTGGACCCGAAGAGATCCTACCAAAATACAGCAACTCTGTTAAATAAAGGTTAACAGTGGTTTTGACAGCCTTGTTGATTCTATATTTTTTACTTTAAAAAAATCTATAAATTTCAACTGAGTAAAGAGACCTGTTGGGTTAACACAACTGGAGTGAACAGCTTTAGGGGCCAGGGGCCAGCAAAGAGCGAGTGACATGGCAACAACTTATTCACACCAGACCTGTGGGGAACCAGGCACATTTGCTTCTCCACAGTGCAACGTAAGATATTTAGAGAACTAACTTCAGATTAAATCATTTGATTATCATTCCATCAGAAAACAGAAAGGATGAGATACAGTCTGACGTACGTTTTAATTTTTATGAATGTGTAACATCAGGAATGTGATATTCCCCAATTAGCAGTTTTCTTCTGATGATAAAAAGTAAAAGCCCTTAAAACAAGTTTAGTATTTGTCCTGAAGAACAGCAATAAAGGGATACAACCTTGGAAAGCTGTCTTCCCAGGCTGGTTGCAAAGCCAGACCCAATGAACAGGAGGTGGCAACTGTGAAGAGAAAAGCAGGCTGAATCCCAGCAGAAACAATGACAAAAGTGGGCCCTGAGGGCTTGTCAGGAGGGTCCTGAAACAAAAGATTATGTTCAGCAATTCTATTCCAATTTACACTCTGTACAGAAAGTGATCCCTTTCATCATTCTCAGTTCAGATTTAATTTTCTTGACACCCTATAACTGGAGACAACATTTTGCATTTCCAATTCAGAAGTACCAACTAAAGGTTGCCTCACACACAGTAGCTCTACAGTGAAAACAGGAGGACTGTTCATCTTTTTTTGAGAGTTTTCTAAGAAAGCATCGCAAGAATTAGCAATGAAAACCTCTAACAGTTTCTTCTCTCAAGGACATTCACCTTGTTAGACAGACAAAATATATTCTCAGACCATACTTACTGCTCTAAGTGTTACATTCCTTTCTCAAAACCCATGTGTTCTTTGACCTTTTGTTTTCCACATCTTATTCTTTAAAAAATAAATTCATTCTCAAAATTTGCCTTCTTGTTGCTAAAAGAAACAAGTACAACTTGTACTTCACACAACTTCATACTTAATTCATAGGACCTAGATTCCTATTAATCTCAGAGTATCTGTTTTAAGATCTTTCTTACTTCATCTGATTTTTAAAGTCCATCTTGTCATCTGATTACAACAAATAGACTAATCATTCAATATGCTCAGTGATGGGGATTAAAAAATCATGAAAAATAAACTATCCAAGTTCAAAATTAAAATGAATGGTAGGCATCAAAATCCAGTCCATTTGATAAATTATAAATTACTTTTAAGATGGAAAAAAGCAGATCTTTTAATACCAACCTGAAAACAAAAGTGCAAAGTTAAAAGATGGCCAGATTCTTAAAAAAAAAAAAAAAGGCTGAAATTCTGACCCAGCTTCCCTGTCCAATTAAAATCTGGTCATCAGAAAATTCTCTGATATCAAGTCCCTGATTTTTTTCCCTTAGCAAGCTTGTATGGTTTATTATGTGCTCTGACTATAAAATTATTTCAGTAAAATTTAGAGACTAGTATTTGTTCTTTTTTTAAGCCAACTAGCCAAGTTTTATATTCATCTCAAACTTCATTTGCAACACACTCCTTGGATATACCCAATCAATACTTTTCAGCACAATGAATTGGAAAGCAAAGAAAGAAGTCCTTTTTGACACACAATCAGTTAAAACTCCTTCCTAGCCAGCAAAGAGTCCTCACTCTTTAAACATTTATTCCTAGGTGTATGAAAACGTCACTATTAAAAGTCTTCCTTTCCTCAAACCCTGCCGCACATCTTTTCAAAAATCTACACTAAATAATTTCTCCAATACATATTTTCCAAACCATTCTTTTTGTTACTGCTCTCTTAGCGGGCAGCTTCAGCTTTAAACACCTGTAATTCTAGAGTTTTAGGGATAAGCCAGTTTTGAGGCCAATACCACTCTCCCAGGTAAAAAAGGTGGTAGCAATGTGGTAGGAGCTGTTCCTCCTAAAGAAAATAAAATCAATAGCAATCTAATATCAATAAACTAATGCACTCAGAGTAAGTTTTGAGTATAAAATCTTATGGTTTTACTAACAAACTGATATGACATTTATGTTGAGCAGATAAATTTTTTCCTGTGAATTAAAAATCTGCCTCTCCTTCCCCAATGGGAAAGCTTCACATTGTAGTATACAAAAAAAGACTGTGAACTTTACTATTCAACTTCCCTCACCCCTCCCTACTTCAAATACCTCAATCAAGAACCCTCCCTCAAAAATCCTCTTAAATGTTCAAAGCACAAAATAGAGCTCCAGAGAATATAGTAGCTAAGATGAGGAGTCTATGGTCCATTCTCCTCTTTCTATAATGGAAGAGTGTTACAAATTTTGCAGAGGCGTGGAGGCAGAGAATGCTAGCAGTGGAGGAGAAAAAAAGGAAGAAAAGAGAAGGTAGGATGTTAGGCTTAATGAATTACTTGTTGTCCTGATAGGTTAAAGCATTTGGTGGGTGGAGAAGGCACATGTTCTTTCACTCAATAAAAGGCAACATGGTAAGAGAAGGCTGCATCTTACTTATATTTTATCTTCAGCTCTATTAGCCCAGTTAAGCTTTTATACCTCTTTCCTATTTCCTAACTGTGAATCTTTCCATCTTTATGTTGTGGTTTGGTAGTTCAAGTAAATGCTTTTATTTTTCCTGGAGGAAAAAGATAGTATTGATTTGCTGAGAAGGATGGGAAGCATTATCTTGAGGAGTAATTATGTCTTAATAACAGAAGTAAGGATTTATTTATTCCTTACATTGTCAGCACGCCACTACAAGGCTACAGGAAGGCAAAAGAGGGAGGTAACATCCTCAATGTCAGGTCTTTGTTTCCTTACTCTCATTCCGTTGGCTTTGCAAAGTGACCCAGTCCCCATAAATGAACATTACAGGTCTATCTAAACTACTTTTACAAAATGAGATTTTGTTTGGATACTTTTCTGCAGCAGTCATTTATACAGCTGCCAGTCTGTTCCGCTGTCGCCTCTCCCTAAATTCAGCAGGAAACCGAAATTCAGATTTTCCTTTAGACTGGGCAAGAAACCGCACCTCTCGTATAGGGTAGATCTTTTTCAACTTCAAGTCTACTCCTTTGCATGAATTAATGGCATGTGGTTTTGCTCGGGGGTGGGGCTGGGGGGCCCCTCTTTCTCTTGGAGGAGGCATCGAACTCCAAGACAGCCGAAATTTACAAAGCCTCTAGGAAGATGTTAAACTGTCTTGAACTATTGTAACAGCACCTTTATTTTCAGAGGCCATCCACTAATTACCCAGCAGCACCTATGCCGTGGGAAACACACAGCATAAAAGGGTGCTGCTGGGGGAGGCATTTGGGAAGGCAGAGCGACTTTGCAAACTGATGGGATGGAGGGTACAACTTTTAGGGTTTGGAAACAAGAGGTCAGGCAAACGCTGAAAAGGAGTCCGGGCCGGGGGAAATTCTAGCGTGGGTCTCCGGCCCGCCCCAAGGGCCCGGGGCGCCGAAGCCCTCGGCGCATTGTCCTCCCCCGGCTGGCGGCCGCGTCCTCCACCCACGCTCCTGGCGAGCGGCGAGCGCCGCACGCCTCCTCGGCGCCGACCCTGGCAGCGGGCTCCGGGTCGGGGCTCGGGACACCGCTCCTGGTGGAAGGGTCTGGGCCAGGGGAGGCGGAGAGGGAGCCTCGTTGCACACTCGTTGCACACTCGCACAGGTTGTCCAGCGCAAGCTGAGGACAGAGAGGGTTAATCATCTCCCCGGGCATCTGCCCACCTCAGCCCCCAACTCGGCTCCTCCGTATCCCCTTGGTCCGCCGTCGATCCCGGTAAGCCCCTTTGACCCCCACCACAGCCTGGCGTCGACAGCTTTTGTTTTGGCCGCGACGAAAATAACGATCCCAGAGGAGGAGGTGCCGGGGCTGCTGGTGGCTCTTCGGCACAGGGTTAGAGAGGAGCGGGCAGCCGCGGCGGCACCTCCTCGTTCCCCACACTCCCCGCGCCCTCTGCCCGGTAACCCGGCTGGGAGACCGCACGCCTCGGTGCTCACCTCACACTGCGAGGCCCGGTCTCCAAACGGCGCTTGGGGCTGCAGCGCCGGCCGCCAACGGGCACTGGTCCCTCAGGTACACCAAGCAAACGAGGGAGCGAGCGAGGGAGGACCGCCGGCGCGCGCCTCGCAGCAACCGCGAGTTTTCACGAGCGTCTGGGCGCGCGGCCCGGGGTGCGCGCGCGCACGTACGGCGCAGGCGCGCTTTGCTCGCTCCTCCGAGCGCTCCCATTTTGAGCCCAGCAGCGCGAGGCCCTGTTGTCGCGCTTGGTTGTATTTTGTCTTACACCCTGAGTGATGTCTTGCGCTGCCATAACCCCGTGGAGTCGTTCTCAGCTCTGCAAACATTGTTAGTAAATGAGCCCAGCGCTCTTTGCAAAACCGTCCATCCCCTGCTGAGATAACGTGGGGACTCTCTTCGCCCTACTTTATGGTGGTATGATTGCAACACCGGCAAGAGTGCCCACCGGAGGACCCGGGCATTGAAATGGTCGAGAGGGAGGTGCCACCAAGTCCAGAGGGGCATTGAGGGCAGGTTAGAGGCAGGCAGCTGGTGTTTTGCAGACCTCCACGCCAAGACAGCAGAGCAGGCAGGGGGTCCCTGCCCTGGAACAGTACATAACCCTCTTTGCCAAGACCTTAACGAACAGGTGGAGGTTGTGGTTATTGATGGCATTCCCCACGGTTTTGCTCCTTATAAAATGTTTTCTCTCTCTTTTTCTATATAAATATTTGTAGGGCTGAAAATGTTCTTAAGATCATCTAAACGCAACCTTTCATTTTTCAGAGGAGGGAAAGAATACCAAGAAAGAATTAAATGACTTACCCAAAGCCACGTGGCATTTTCATACAGTCTAGATTAATTCAAAACCAAAGTTACTCTTTCACACTATTTTACCTACCCTTCTTGCTCTTCCTTTTCGTCCTTTTTCAACCTAGGCTTCAAGGCATAATTTTGTTTTGTCGGTATGTGAATGTACTTAACACTACTCAGCTGTACACTTAAAATGGTTAAAATGGTAAATCATATGTTACGTATATTTTACCACAATTTTTAAAAGGTGTTCAATAAAAGTTAAACATTGAGTATTAAGCTTAGACAGTCATAAGTATAGTTTAACATCAAAAAGTGAGCTATGGGAAAAAGCATAATAAATGAGATCTAAAGTGACACTTTCAATTTTACGAATATATATTGTCCAGTATCAATTTTCTTTAAAAAGTAATGTTGATCCTTAGGTTGATTTCCAAGCAAGCCAACGAGTGTTGTGAAGCCAACGCTGACTTTGCTGAGGGTGAGGGGGGTGAACAACCATGTGGTCCTGCTTTATATATTTCCAGATTCCTTGTATATGCGGAGCCTGGGAGATGTGCAGCTATATGCATTTTTATGCAATTTACACAGTGTCCTTTAAATGTCAGGCATAGGACATATAACTCACATGGGGAGGTTGAAAAGACAAAGCAATTATCACTGAATGCATCAGCATGATTAAATCTGAGAAATATAACACTGAGTGAGAAAAGCAAATTACAAGATATGCAAATTCTTATGCCTGTTTAAGAACACCCAGCCATACTGTTTATGAGGGCAAATGTATGTAAGTATGTTTACATATATATAATAAGAAATATGCAAGTAGGTTACACACCAGTTTCATGACAGGGTTGCCTCAGGCAGGTGAGAAGGGGAATGGGATCTGCAAGGGGTACAGAAAGGATTTCAACTATTAATCACACACAGGAAACAAAAATGTTAATATTTTAAACAATCTGGGTGGGAATACAAGGGTTTTTCATATGCAAGTGTCTAAACTGTTATGTTTAAAATATTTCATTTAAAAATAATGTTGCAGTGTCACGGGCATTGAGCTATATGCTCACTATGAGCATAATGTGAATGGTGTCATTCAAACTTGGAAGGGAGTGGGGGTGGGGGTCAGCAGCCAGACCGATGTGGTGCTGGACAAGAAGAGGCCCAGAGGGTGCTGGTTGAGAAGATAGACAAAAGTCACCTTATTTTCAGGAATAAAAATATTAACATCCAACAGGGATAAAGTGTGGTGCTCTCTTTTATCCCATTTCTCTTTCATTCTGTATTGTAACCACCAATAAATAGAAAGGCTTTAATGAGGGGGCACTTCACAGAGAGCACTCTTGCAACACGTTGTTAAAACTGCTCTCTTTCTGGATGAACCCGTTTCAAAACTATAAATGTTAACCGGTGATACATGGTAATTTAATATTGCATCTACATACCTCTCCAAGGACACCCTCCACCACCAAAGGCTTTGTTTACTCATTTGCATACAACCTGGTCAGGTGAAAAAAAACACTTCTCTGGTATTCAGACAACCAAGGTTCTAATTTCTGTTTGGCCACTTACAGATCCTTCGTCAACTCAAAGAAATCAAAATCTCTATGAGCTTCGCATTTCTTTTTCTTTTTAAATTGGAGATATACAAATCCTGCCTATTTTTAAACTATGAAACACGATACAAACATAGGGTTTACATTTGTTTAAGTTGGAAGAGAGTATATTCGTATCTATTTTACTGAGGAAAGTCTTTTTGCAGGTGGCAGGGCTTTTTGTTTTGGTTTTGTTAGCGGCTGCCCATAAGAACTGTATTAGATTCACTAAAGAAGCTCTGTCTGAAATTTTGAACTTTGGGTTATTCTCCAGCACTTGAGAGTTCCGGAGAATCACCAGCAGTTATCACTGCAGCCTTACATTATGTACCTTTTGTATTTTCCAGCCTTCCTCATTAGATTATTTTTTTATCTTTGTATTCTTACTCTGCCCCTTATTACATGATGGGTGCTCAATAAATTTAATTAAATTAGACTGGATTATAAAATTTCCCATGTTTGGAGTTATTATTATTAAGGCATGCCATCTGCTGGTTCCACGATGTAATCTGTCAATCAGCCTGAATTCCTTAATATTCTGATGGGTTAAAATTAATGTTGAGGCATTTGTGAGTTTGTGTATTAGGCAATTTTCCCACGTCCTTCCACTTCCTGTTGCAGGTGCTTTTCTTTCACTGAACCAGTCCTGAATTCCTTTTCCTCCAACCCTCTTTTACCTGTTGGTCATTCTTAAAACCTGGATAAATGGAGTTTATATTTCAGAGGCTTGGAGTGACCAGAGCAATGTAATTTGGGGCATGCTCAGGAGGTTGGCCTGATTTGGAAAATAAATATGTCTTGAATGGAGGTTTTCAACACTGCTTGTTTCAGGATTGGATGCATCTTCGTCTTAGAATTATATTGGGAGACCACAGTCCCTCCCACCCTCTTGGCAATCTTTCATTATATCCGTGTGCCCAATTTTGGAGCCAGCCCTCCTGGATCTCCTGGCCAATCAAGAGACCACACATTGTTGCCTGAGAGACCCCGGATGCCAGTGAAAGGATTTATAGATGTTGATTGGACTACAGGAAGCTAGAGGGTGGGGGCTGGGCAAAATCAAAGAAAAAGCAGCTATGGCAACACCAGCGCTTGAGGCTTGAAGAGGGAGTCGAGCTGAAAGAGGTGAGACAGTGGGTAGTGCATGAAAAAGATGGAGACTCTCTTTCGAGGGCTCCACTGTCATCCTCCTGGGCCTCTCTCAAGCCTTGTCAGTGCTGCTGGGGAATTACATTTTGCTCCGTTTCAACTGCAGTTTAAGTGCCAGATGCTTCATACAAAATTAACGACCAACAAATATTTATATGCCTATCAAACACTAGATCTTTTTATTGTATTACAGTTTTTGCTTTCAAACTAGTTTACTATAAGATGAACCAGTATTTAAATCTAACCATTCCCTAATGCCTGATACTTTCTTGATAATATCTGAGGTTCCCTTCTCTAATGATACTGCAGTGTACAATGAGTGAGTTGTGTGTCAGCAGAGAAACTCAGTATTATTCTGCTCTGTAAACTCCAAATAAAAACCTAATAATCCTAAGTATATTCTCAGTGCTCAATTCCTAATGTTCTGAGTTTCACCCTACATTTCCACTGGTTTTAATCCTTAAACTGTCCTCTCCACTGTTTCATTCATTCGTTCCATTGATTTAACAAATATTTGTCAAGCATCTATTATGTACTATGAAATTAAGAGTCAGGTGAGCAGTCTCAGAAAATTACATAAGCAAAGCAGCATCAGTGTTGTGTATTGTTTTCTCCGAGGGATCTTAAGTTCAGTATGTCTGAGCAGATAGTGCATGAAGGGAGAGAGAGAGACAAAATGAGGCTCAAAAGGTAGACAGAGGTAAATTCATAACGGACCTAGACCTGCATGCTGAAGAGTGTGGATATTCTGTAGCCGTTAGTGAGCCTCTGAGGAGTTTTGAACTGAACAGGGACATGATGAACCAACTGGCCTTAAACAAAACAATACCCCCCGGAAGTAGAAGGGTGTTTACCGGAGATGAGGAGGGGGGAGGGAATACACTAATAAAAGGGTACAAACTTTCCGTTATAAGATGAATAAGTTCTGGAGACCTAATGTACAGCATGGTGACTATAGTTAATAATAATAATATAACATATACTTGACATTTGCTAAGGGAGTAGATCTTAAGTGTTCACACACACAGATGTTAGCTATAGGAGGTGATGGATATTAGTTTGTTCATTTCACAATGTATACACATATCAAAACGCCACCTGTACACCTTAAACATATATAACTTTTATTTATCAACAAAGAAAACTCTCTAGCAGTGAACTGTAAGCTCCATTAAAGCAGAAACTCTTTTTTTCTGCTTTAGTATAGTTTATTGATTATGCTATTACAGTTGTCCCATTGTTTTTCTCCCCTTTATTCCCCTCCACCCTCCACCCCCTCCCACCAGCATTCCCCCTTTAGTTCATGTCCATGGGTTATACATATAAGTTCTTTGGCATCTCCATTTCCTATACTATTCTTTCCTATACTATTCCTATACTTGCCCCTGTTTATTTTGTACCTACCATTTATGTGAAGCAGAAACTCTTACTTTTATACCCCCAACACAGGCCTAACAGGTCCTAAGCAAAGTTGAGTAATGGTGACAGTGTGAAGAATGGCTCGGGGATGGAATTAGAGATGTGTAGCCACTGGAACTTTCCCAGAAAACCCATCCTTACTGTCAACATAGAAATGGAACATGGAACTAGAAACTTAGCATTTGGGCTAAAGCCATAGGCCCTCTTTCTTCCTTTCTGTCCAAAGAAAAATGAAAGATAAACATTCAGGAGTGGCCATTAGGAGGAAAGAGGGCACAGAAAAAGCAGCACCAAGTTTTATATGTGAAAGGAAGGGAAGACGGCTTGCTTTGTCTTGTTGATGGAATGGGGACAGTTATTTCTGTGTATGTTATGTGAAAGTGCCTGTCTGTAGAGTAGCCCTGAGTGATCCATGCCATGAACACGTGTGTGCATGCAGACACGCACACTGCCTGTCTCCTGGTGTGAAGGGAGGAGGGGAAAACTAAGAGGATATGACAAAAGACGTCATTATGACAGCACGACTACACTACCAAGAGGTCTGTCTCTCCTGGCCAGACCCATCTCCTGAACACCAATTTTCCTCAAGTCGATTTAAAGAAAGCCTGGTTCAAATAATTTCTGGCTCCGAGGACCCAAGAAAAAAATGATAAAGCAACCAGTGCAGGGCTTTGGGGAGGTCCTAGGAAAATTCCTTTGTCCTAATTCAAAATTTTTGCTTGGCTTGTTTCCTACACAAAATGGGAAGAGAAGGAGTTTCTCCACTTATAGCAGGAGTTTTTAACCTGCGGTAAGCAAAATTTTATGTTCATGTGCATTTTTCTAGTGAGAAGATTCATAGCTTTCATCACATTCTCAAAGAGTTATTTGGCCCTTGGAAAAAATTAAAACAATGAGTTTAATAAGAAGAAAGATCAGACGTAAATAAATAACAACAAAAAGAGAAATTGGAAGTTTTTAACTGGGCAGATCTAGACTCAGTGACCACGCTTTGTATCTATAATTTGCTTGCTAACATGTACTTTCATAGCTGCCAATTAATAATACTGCAATGAAATCATTTCTTATGCCTTTTGCAACTTAGCTAAATAGGTGTGACTTAGATAATTAGCTGTTGGGGGGCTGAGAAGACTGTGACAGCTGATCTGAGTCCCTTTATTCCAGTGCTACAATGGCAGCAGGTATTGTCTAATGCAAGGAGGTATTGTCTAATGCTGCCACTGAGGTTTTAAAATACTGCCTTTATCTTCAGCTATAATTGAAACCTGAGACGTACTATTACATGTCAAGTGAGAGACTAGAAGATTTTAGATCTAGCGTTTGGGGGAATCCCATGTGAACCATAAACGAATGATTTTTTTTTTAACTGTCCAATATCTGTTGCTGAAGAGTAATTTTGGGAGCCCACAGATCAGGTAGTCAAGCTCTGGTCCCCTCCGTCATCACCAATGCCTTTCAATATGAAACCCAGCTTTAGAGGGAAAGAAGGCAGAAGCACTGAGGATATACATCGAAACCACCATCAACCTGCTTTAAGTGTTTTTCCACCTTAAAATACTTGTCACGGCTTTCTCCAGGGCAGATATTGAGGCACCTGTGAATAATAGGGTGAAACCTACATGAGGTAAAAGAAAAATTGGTTGTAAACAATAGATTCTAGATAATGGAACCAAAAGAGGAAATATATTGCGAGGATATCAGGTGGCTCACAAAATGGACAAGAAAAGACAAGACGTTTCTGAGGGATGAGGCCGCAGGGACAACTTAGGAGAGCAGCAGTGCTACTTGGAATGACCACCCCAGCTGTGAAGTAAGGATAAGCCAGCATCTGTCCAGCTGACCCGGCTCCGTTTCATGACCACCTCTTGGCCAGGAAAGGGAAGGCCACCTCTATGAACCAACCCAGCAAACTCTAGACAATGAGGGAAAAGTAATTCCTCATGGAAATTACAGTGCTTTAATAAAGTGAAGGCAGATGTATACTGAGCATTTAAAAACAGCACATTTATTTCCCTTATTAAACCCAGATCTGTCCATCTCCTAAAGCTTCGTATTTTGTATTATCACATCATTCTACTTTTTAAATATGGTATCAAGCTAGAACCTTTGTTAGTTAGATGTCAGAAAGTCAAGAAGGGAGAAAGAAAGTCACAAGGGACAAGGATGGAGTGTTTTATATTGCACTATGATTTTATAAATTGAATTACCTCTTCTTTCTAGCCCATATGGTATGTTATTAGCTATAAGTGATTCTGGATTTCCCTCCATGGCCCAACAAAAATAGAGTTAAACAAACCTGGGTCTAATTTCCAGTTCTACCATTTACTATAATTTTGGGCAGAGTGTGTAGCATAAGTGAGCTTCATTTTCTTTATCTATATAGTGACCTAATATCTACCATCTCACCAGATTGTTAGGAACTTTGATTGAGCATACAGATAAAGTACTTCCAGTAAATGTTCTTCCCCTCAATTCCTTCTCTCAACATATTAAAAGATTGTGTGGTATTAATATACTCAATATTCTGAAGATGATATCATTCATTTCTTCTGCCAGGTATCATTTTTCTCATGGAAGAATACCCAGTTACTCATGATGGCATTTGCACCTCCAAAAAGCATGGATAGTCCCAAAATGCAGACAAAGATGAGTACCTGGACACCCTTAAACCACCAGCTTTTAAATGACCAGGTAAGTGACCAGAGCTATTTTATCAGTTGCATCCATGCCTTAAAGGGAAGAAAAAGTATTAAAAGTTTGGTGACCAAAATATGAACAGCAGTTGTTTAGGAATGTGTAATGGAAGAAAAAAATGAAGGATTTTTTTCCAAACATTTTTGAGTCCTTGCTATGTGGGCAAGGCCAGCAGTAAACCGAGTCCCTGCCTGCGATGAAAATGTCTTGGATTTGCTCTTTCCTCTGCTCACTGCCCCTCTCTCTCACTCTAAGAATCTTTTTTCTCTATCACTGGTTCTCTGCTGGAACTGCCAGGAATGAGAGAGGAGCAGGTGGTTTATGAGGAGTTCCCCCCAAAACAGATTTTCTTGCTAGATTTGCAATTATGAGAAAATGCTGCACATTTAACCAAATAAATAAAATAAATAAATCGCATCCCATTATTCACATGACTGAGGCTCTCCTAGGAACTTATTTCCAATCTGCATTCTGGAGAGGCACTAACGGAATTCACCAAACTAAGGATTGCGAGGGTGGGAAGCTAAATATCATGCTGGGGAATGAGACTGGCTGACCTCTGGAGATTTCTGTTCCTTCTTCAGGTAAGGGCAGAATTTTGCAACTGGTCTGTGTGCTCCTGTTATCAGTTCCGTTGACTCCTGACCCACAGATGTCTGAACTGCGGGGATCCACTATCACATGGAGTTTTGACTATGTGGGGGGTCAGTATCCCTAAACCTTATGTCGTTCAAGGATCAACTGTGCCTATTACAAGGACCACACCTACTTGGCAGTAAAATCAACACCGATAAAACTGATCTCTGCCCTGGCCAGAGCATTGTCCCGAACACCAAAAGGTTGAGGGTTTGATCCCCAGTCCGGGCACAAACAAGTACCTAGGTTGCGGTTTGATTCCCTGGTCAGGGAGCACACAGGGCAACCAGTTGATGTTTGTCTCTCACAGCAATATTCCCTGCCTTCCTCCGTCTCTAAAATCAATAAACATAGCCTCGGGTGAGGATCTAAAAAAAATAACCGACCTCATTATCTTACTCCTACACACTAGTTCCTTCCTCTGGTGAAACACCAAGTTCCACTTCCCACTAAGTCACTGAAACCAGACAACATCCTTCTCTCTGTTGGGTCTGGAATTTGGTTTCCCCCAAATTACAAGTTAATAACTTAGCCTGTTACTTATGGCACAGAAGATACTACAGTCTCACAGTAAAAGACACGAGATTCTTGGATCAGAGATAAAGAACTTCATTGTTCACAGTGCAGCAAAGCTATACGAGCATTGTGTTTGTGTTGGTTCTCCTTGCCTGCCTGTCCACCAGGAGTGATGCGAGGGTCCAGATAAATGGGAATGTTTACTACGCACACCAAGGGTTTGTGCCACAGCTGAGGGACATGAGCCCAGAGAATCCACTGCTTCCATAGTGAATAGTAAACAAGCCTGCTCTTGTTCCCAAAGGGAAGTAGTACTTCATTGCTTAAGGTTGCCTTGCTGCAAACAAAACTTGGAGAATGGTGGTCAGGGCCTTGCATTCTCGGTATTCCAAGACCTTTCAGAGTGTGAGAGGCCCAGGGAGGAGTGTCAGCCAGCACCCCCTCACCTCCATATCCAGTTCATTTGCAAGCTCTAGGAACCTTCCTCTGGTCTCCTTTTCTCCATTCACCTACATTTCTCCAGCTCCACATTCTCAGTTCACAACCTCGTCACCCTTTGCCTGGTGCATTGTAGTAACCCCCTAACAGGTTTCACTGCCTTTATCCCTACCAATTCATCCTCTGTTTTGGTTGAGAATGATATTTCTAAAATACTAATCTAATCCTATTATGTAAAACCAATAGTAGGCCCTACTCCAAAGGGTAAATTACAGACTCCTATGTGCAGCATTGAGGAACCTCCCAGTTGCAGCCCCTTTTCCAACACTGCTTCCAGGCCAGCTGAGTGGACCCCGGGTTAGCCATCTCTCTCACACCTCCACGCCTTTGCACATGCTCTTCTCATTGCCTCCTAGAAGAGTCAATTCAAGTATCATATCTTCTGGGAAGCCTCCTCCTGCTTGCTTTCTTTGCTCTCATCGCTTTTTGCTGGCTTTTCCGCTCAACTCTAATGTATTGAGTTGAGATTGTCTTTCTTCTCTGTCTCCAGTGCCTGATAGGGTTCCTGAAACACGAGACATGGAGTCATCCTGGGACCTCCCTCCACTGACTCTCAGCTTCTTGTCCCTACAGCCCTCCTTCCTTGGCCCGGATTTGGCCCTTTGCTCTCTGAACCTAACAGACATGATCATCAATCTGGCAAAGCTGGAGCACCATTCCTGACCCCTCCCACTTAGTACTTTCCTATTTCTACTCCTCCGATGGGTAACATGAGCACTTTGGTGAGTGAGACAGAGGAGCCAGCATAGTAATCAGAATAATGAGAAATAAAAAGGAGGGAGAGACTGAAAAGGGAAATGATAAAGGAAGGAAAAGAAAAGTAAGAAATAGAAAAAGAGAGACCAGGAATAAAAAAAGGAAAGGCAGAGAAAGAGAAAATGAGAGAGAGAAATCAGCATTCGTCTAGTCCTGAATGACATAGGTCTATTGGAAGTCTTTTTTATTCATCTCAACAGTTATTTGTTCATCACCTGTTTGCAGTGTTCTTAGCTCTCCAACAGTTTTTATAACGACTTCTCTGCTCGCCTCCCACACACCCAGAACTTTAGTGTTTAGCTTCGAAATCTGTTTTCCTATAGAATGAATGGTGAAGATTTTACATGCGAGTGAAAAAGTGACTCAGATTGAAATACATATTCATTGGATGCCTTGCTTTTCAGAAATCTTCTTTAGAAAATTAGAAGTCTTAAGTAATTTAGGAACTGTGGAGGAAAAATGTCTTAATTGCCTGATGGCCTGCTTGTTGTAGATTGGGTCACTAGAGAAGCAGCCTCCAATGGGCATCTAGGGTGTTCACTGGGGAGGTGCTGGGGACCAGCATGGGGAGGTGCAGGGAGCAGAGGAGAGGCAAGGGAGGAAGCAGAGGGGAGGGGAGGAAGTTTGGGGCAGAGGAAGAAGCTGGCCTGTGATGCACTCTTGTGCAGGTAGCCACCCTGAAGGTCCTGGACAAGGCAGATCTCTCAAACTCAAGGCTGCCAGCCAGCTCTCACGCAGGTGGGAGAATAAATAAGTCCTTTAGTCCCACTGGGGGTTCTGGGCAGTGCGTTACAGCAAGCATTGCATTGTCTTAATCTTGGTTCTGGATTAGCTTTTGTCAAATCGAATCATTTCTGAGATAATATTTATGTTCTTGTTTAGACCTCCCATTTTATTCCCCCAAAATTAGGTTTTGGTTTAGTTAAGTTCTAGTTTGGAGTAAAATTATTTTTAAAATCTTCACATGTATATAAATGTACATAGACATGCACACAGAGTTTATGTATGCAGATACCAAATGACCAATAGCGGTTTCACCAGTGTTGACTGGCCCTGGGAGAAGTGGTCCTGTTAGAAAAGAGCTTTCATTCTTTTTACCTTTCACAGTGCAATAAGATTTCAAATTTTAAAACAATTTTAAAAATAAATATAAATACAAATAAACAAAGAATGACTCTGGGAATTGAACGTTCTGTTTCTAGATCGGCTGTTACGATAATTTCCTAAGTGACTGGAGGAAGTCATCTACCTTCTCTCGTCTTTTACTGTCTTCCTTCACGAAATGAGTCAGTTGGGGCACATGACTCCGGAGGTCCCTTTCACATCTAACATTCTGGCTGTTTGAATGAGACCAGCAACAGATGCCGAGGATACAGCTGGTCTGAATTGTCCGTACAGTAATTTCAAGGGGTTTTCTACACTCCTAAAACAGGGCTTTGTCACCGCTGATCAGTGTAATTTTGAGGGCCTGCTTTTTTGCTCTTGTTTTAATTTTTTCCTATTTTGTGGTAAAATTCAAAATATGTAACTATTCCAGACTAAAATAAGAGTCACGGGATTTTTAACATCGTTACAGGCTTTAAGCAGAAAGATTGAATCAAAATTCAGATGCCTAAAAAAAACCAGCATCATTAGCACTAGGTAAATGTAATGAATTTCAGAATAATTCAAGTATTGTGAATCGTGAGAGGAGGAATGTTTTGGCCATCTAGTGTTTTAACTGAAAGTAACCAACATATTTTTTCAAGTATGCTTCACAGATGTAGTACAGTACATGTTAGAAAGAGCCCTTTGTTACCATCAGTCAATCAATCATCATTCAGGAGCCTCTGTCTTACTCCTACATTGTAATAAAGTCGCTTAGTGAAATATGTAACTGTGGTGTCAGTAGACTAAAATAACAACGTAGGATTTTGATTTAACAGCACACCCTGAATAAACAGTGTTATAAACATTCTGCAAGGAAAGAAGATCCATTTTTATATTTCCATTTTGAATCAATATTTTTTTCCAGCTCTTTAAGGTGAAGAACATGATTGCAAATCTTGGAAATGAAGACTTGCCCCAAACCATAGAATAGAAGACTCTAACTGAGGACCCGACAATTAAATAATTTGTCCTAACTTATATTTCTTGCCAAAGACAGAGTCAGAACCAGATCTGAGCTCATTTGGTGTTTTCCCACCCCTTCGTTCACTCCTGTCAGTTTCTACTTGGGTCTAGATGCCTTGCGATCAAGAACCAGATATGCTTGGACCCTGCTTAGACTTGATCACTGGTCCTTTAAAGACTATTGTTTTAGCCTAAATAACATTCCTAAACAAAAAGCATTCATTTGAGCCAAAGGATTGCAGTCCGACAGACAACCCAAACTGCACTCTGGAGAGAGCAAGGAAAAGCAGGATTTATGAAGACAAAACCCACAAAATGTAATTCTTTCATGCAAATGAAGGAGTGCTAGCTAAGTTAACAAGGATTGATTAGTTCCAATATGTAAACGAGGAAGGCAGGAACTACTAGGAAGTAAGCGAAGTCCAGACGAGTCAATGTAGCAGTTACTCAGGTGTTTGTGGCTCAGCCTCAAACTAAGTTTAGCAACAGGGTGAGCAATTTAAATGCAGCTCTGGGTGTTGAGGTACAAGATGGTCATAGGCCCCCACTTCCTTAATAATCTTCTGACTCTATTTTAAGTGACTCTCTCAGTAATATTTATTCCATTGTCATTCGGACCCTGCTTAGACTTGGTGGTTGGCCCTCTAAAAACTATTGTTTCAGCCTGAATGACACTCCCCACCTCCCACCCTACTCCTTTCCTGCTAACTTCTTGCTGATTCTCCTCGCCCCTTCAAGTGGGTGCCCCTTTGTTTCCAATGCTCCGTGTTGTCCTCGACCACCATAATGGCGTTGCATCCTCCTTTTGAAAGGAGACTGTGCTTGTGGGGTCTACCCTTTTCTCCTCCCCCTGTAAAGCCAAAGCCTGTCGTCGGGCTGGAGGTCAGGATGGGGAAGACCGTGTTTCTAGCGAGGAACCAAGTGAGTTGAACTGAACAGTCTGGAACCAGTGATTTTTTAAAATCTATAAATGTAACCCCTTTGAGCCTCTGGTTAACCTCTCTAAAACAAGGAAATTGAGCAGGAAGATCTTTAGGATTTCTCTGAGTGCTAAGATTCTATGACTTTTGAAGCTTTTGTCTTGTTGTTATTGAATCAGGTATTTTGGGGGGGCTGTCACAGAACTGGTGGAGCATGTAGAGGAAGTGGTTGTCATCTGCATGGGAAGACGAAATGAACGGGAACAACTGGAGAGCCATAGTGGACTCTCTGGAGACCAAACGGAACACGCACCATCCGTGGAGTATGAGTTGGGAAGAGCCGGGTGACTGGGCATCAGGAAAGTGGTGGTGCTGACACCTTGGTTTGGGTGGCAGGTGACTGATTGGCTTTGGTTAGATAAAGGAGAAGAATTCAGCAAATATTTGAATCCAAAATTTTGAATCTTCTATCCTTTAGGTTCTCTTCTATTTTCATCTAAAAATTCTGAATTTGTCTGTTGCTGCTATTCAGGGTCCTAGTAGCTCAGGTGGCAGCTAATTAGGGGGGAGGAGAGAGGGGTGTTCTTTTTCTTCTTTAATGTACAAAGAACGTCTACCTGTGATGTATGAGATCCCTGGCCAAGAGCAAAACTGACATTTTGCTGGTTTTAAGTTTGTTGTTGAACCAATGATTTCCATCCCCATTTTGTATGCCCTTTGAAACTAGAGTTTGAGGGTCTAAAAACGGAAGGAAAGCATAATCTGTTAGAAGCATAAAGCCAGCGCCACATCCTTCTCCACAAACAGGGAAAAAATAGGCCTGAGTTTCTCTCCAAGTAGGAGCATTTTGCAGTGCTAGAGAATTTAGGTAGTGCTAAGAATAAAGGGAAAATGTTGATTCCAATTTTTAAAAAATTTAAATCTTTTTTTATTTTCAGTTGACATGCGATACTATATTAGTTTTAGATGTATACCCCAGTGATTAGACATTACATAACTTACTAAGTGATTGTCCTGATAAATCTTGTGCCCATCTGACACCATGCATAGTTATTACAACACTATTGACTATATTCCCTGTGCTGTGCTTTACATCCCTGTAACTATTCTGCAACAATCCCTTCATCTTTTTTACCCGTCCCCCCAACCCCCCTCCCATCTGGCAACCATCAAAATGATTCCATTTGTGAAAGCCGACAGGTTGTATGTGTGGGAGTGAGAGAGACATTTACATCTGCTCATTACTTTCTCCTGCTTCCTCTCTCCACAGTGCCCTCCCCTCCCAAACATCCTCACATTAGTTTTCCCTTCCTCGCTCATTCAAATACACCTGTGACTCATGCTCAGCAAAACACCCAGCACCAACAGGTAAACAACTCACGTGTACCAGTATATCCATAAAGATGATCATTGTCACATTCAGTGCCACATTCACTTAATCCAGCAAACACGAGTACCTGTGACGTACTGTGTATGACACTCTACACTGGAGACTACACTGGAGACAGAAGGATGAATAAGACATTCTGCTCTAAATAGTAAATCACAACAAACTTATACAGATAAACACCGAGTTTTAAGTCTGGAGGTATACATATAAACATTTCTGAGCCTATAAACATATAAGAATATGTATAGCCACTGATATGTGTATGTACTGAAATATAAAACCAGCTGCTCAGTCCTGGCTAGTGTAGCTCAGTGGACTGAGCACAGACTGTGAACCAAAGGGTTGTTGGTTCAATTCCCAGTCAGGGCACATGCCCGAGTTACCTGGGTTACAGGCCAGGTCCCCAGTGGGGGCCACGTGAGAAGCAACTCCAGAAACAATGATGTTTCTCTCCCTCTCTTCCTCCCTCCTTTCCTCTCTTTCTAAAAGTAAATAAATAAAACCTTTAAAAAACATACCCATTAAAAAAGAGAGCTGCTCATTCATAAACTTCACAATTTCTGAAACTATTAATACTGAAATATTTGGAGGGAGGATCTCCATTTTCCTGTTGTTGTTTTTTTTTTTTGTCAGTTTTTCCACCTCATTTCAAATTCTACAATTGATTTCACTTTAGAATTTCATTCTTCCCTTATTTCTTGCCTTTAAAACATCATCACTTCTGCCCTGGCAGGGTGGCTCAGTTGGAGCCTTGTCCTGTACACCAGTGGGTTGCAGGTTCAGTCCCCTGTCAGGGCGTGTATAGGAGGCAACCAGTCAGTGTTGCTCTCACATCAGTGTTTCTCTCTCTCTTCCTCCCTCTCTCTCTCTAAAATCAATAAACATACCCTAGGGTGAGGATTAAAAAATTATTACTTCTTTAAGATAAATTATTCTACATGCAGGAACTGAGAGAAAAGAGACCTTGCCCAAGTTAAAAATAAGTACCTCAGGAATTAAATAAATCCTTTTATACTCAGTGGACATAATGAAAAGACTACTTATTTATTGATAATACTTTAATGATGTCTTTCTTGTAATAGGTGTTTTTAGCCTTGAATTATGAAATTATTCTCTTTTATTGCAGGTATTTGAAGAAAGAAGAGCTCTGCTTGGAAAATGGGTAACCATTTAAAATATACTCACTTCTATATTTGAAGCAGATAAAATATACTTACTCCTGTATTATATTATGTTACCATAGAGTCCAAAGAATTCAGTTTGGATGTAAGGCAATCAGTGATGATTGCTTATAGCCTGAGAAGTTTGGTACTTTCTGTATCAGTTAGAGTTCTCGGGAAAACAGAAAATATACCAGTTATTTGAACAGACACAATTAAATTGAATAAATAGCACTGGTTGAACAAATACTGGAAAACAGAAAAGAGAGCACCTCGGTGCCACGGAGATAGCAATGCAGGAAGTGGCTGCTTCCAGCTTTGCCGAGACCTCAGGAACTTAGAGCAAGAACCTAGTGGAGTTGGGACCAGCCCTGGGCGGCGAGGGAGCCCAGACCTCTGAGGAATAAAGTAGACAGCAGCCAGCTGATTCCTACACATCTGAGGGAGTGCGGAAAAGACTAGACACTGGAATCAACCGTTACTCCATGGGAAAAGAGTTAGGGTGATGCTGCCAGGGTCAGCAAGGAAACAGGAGTGAGGCTCTTCTACCTCAGTTTCCCTCTAGTACCACCCTCTCCATTGGCAACATTAACAGGGAGTCAGCTGTCAAAGGGGAAATACGGTTTATAAAGACTCAGCCTTCTATGCTCACAAGGTAGAAGACAGGAAGGTGAGTTTGGATGTGAGAGGCAATAGCTTACTAACAGCACAGTGCATCCATGGCTACTTAGCATTATGCACGCCATTAGACATACGCTTCAGATTGTTACAGTAACAACCGTATCTAACAAGGTAAAGCCACCCTTTATACAAATGAGGACTTTCTTACTCTTTCCTTAAAGGAGGCACAGAGTACCGGTGGTCATTATCCTTCCTTGTGTCAGGATTAAAGTGTCCACCTCTGGCCGATGTTCATTACTTGTCAAATCACTCTACAGTTCCATCTAATAGTCTCTATCACCCAGGAGAGTTGAAAACATATGGTCACGCAAAACTTGTACACAAATGTTCGTAGCAGCATTATTCAAAATGGTCAAAAAGTATAAACACCCAAACATCCATCAACTTATGAATGAATAAGCAAAAGGTGGTATAATCCATACAATGGATTGTCATTCAGCCTTTAAAAAGAAGGAAATTCTGATACAAGCTACAACATGAAATTGGAAGGCATTGCGCTAAGTGAAACAAGCCAGACACAGAAGGACAAATGTTGTATGATTCCACTTATTTGAGTAGCTAGAGTAGTCAGATTCATAGAGACAGAACGTGCCATAGAGGTGACCAAAGGGTGGGATGTTACTGTTTAATGTTCACAGAGTTTCACTGCGAGACGAAAAAGCTCTGCAGGTGGGTGGTGGTGATGGTGGCAGAACAATGTGAATGTACTTAATGCCCCTCAACTTTACACGTAAGAATGGTTAAAATGGTAGATTTTGTGTTTTATGTATTTTACCAAAATTTTAAAAAACAAGGGTAAGAAATAGCAGTGAAGGACCGATTCATGGCACAACATGGATGAACCTTGAAAATAGTATGCTAAGTAAGAGAAACCAGATACAGAGGCTCCATAGTATATGATCCCAATTATAGGAAGTGTCCAGAGTAGGCAAATCCATGTTGACAGAAAATCGATTAGTGGTTCCCAGGGGCTGGAGGAAAAGGGGAGGAGGGATTGACTGTAATTGACACAATTTCTTTTTTGGGGCAATGAAAGTGTTCTAGAATTAGAAAGCAATGGCTACAAAAGCTCGTGAATATACTAAAAACTACTGAATTGTACACTCAACATGCTGAATGTTATGGCATGTGAATTATATCTCAATTTTAAAAATAAATGAGGATTCCTTTAAAAAACTATACTTGGGTTTATTTAACTCCTGATGTATGTCATAAATTTGAAATATTCCATCTTTAAGGCACACAGAGCCTTCTTCCCTATGGGACCATGTTTGACCCAGGATATAACTCCTTTCCTATGAGTTACCGACTCATTTTCCCAAATGTCTTAATGCCTTCAGGCTGCTATAACAAAAGACATAGGCTTATGAACAACAGTGTATTTCTCACAGTTCTAAAGCTAGGAAGTCCAAGATCAAGGCACTGGTAGGTTTGGTGTCTAGTGGGATCCCATTTCTGGTTGGAAGATGACTGTGTTTTCACTGTAGCCTTATGTGGCAGAAGGGGTGAGGGGGCTCCTACCAGGGCACTAACCCTGTTCATGGGGGCTCCACCCTCATGACCTCATCACCTCCCAATACCATCACCTTGGGGGTTAAGTTTTAACATATGAATTTGCAGGGGGACATAAACATTCAGTCCATTGCACTAAGACTAACATAAAACACCATTTCTTACTATTTCTGTTTATCTTAGTCACCAGTTCTTTTCTGTGATGGTCTATGAGCTTCAGTATAAAAACATTTATTAACCTAAGAAAAATAAGTGCTGTCTCCGGAAGGATTCACAAGAAGAGGGGCACCGCTTGTTTCCTCCAGGGCAGAGAACTGTAATCTCTCACAGGGCGGAAGAGAGTCTTTTCTGAATAGCTTTTCCTATCTTTTGATACTTTTGCGCATGTGAAAGTATTACCTATTCAAAATAATAATGAACTTTACAAAATAAATTTACTAAAAATACCAAAAAATTTCAAATCTAGCTGAGTTTTTCTCATATATGAGAAAAACTTATTCTATATATGTTTTAAAACTTTTCTATATATGTTTTTAAATTTTTTTATTGATTTTTAGAGACAGGAAGGAAGAGAGAGAGAAATTTGTTTTTCCAATGATTTATGCATTCACTGGTTGATTCTTATATGTATCCTGACAGGGGATTGAACCCACAACCTTGGCGTATCAGGACAGTGCTCTAACCAACTAAGCTATGTAGCCAGGGCTATATATATTTTTAAAATAGATTTGCATCTCTTACCAGCAACTTAAAAAGAGACTATGTAGAATGACTATGTTTGCATCAGCTATCATTCCACTTACTATCCATGGAAATCTTTAAATATAACCAGAGCTAATGTTCAGCTATTATTTGGTGTGACTGATCGGCTTCTGTTTTGATTGATTAACGGCATTATACCATGCCCTTCGGTAGCTTAGCTGGTAGAGTGGAGGACTGCAGGCTATGCCTGTGTGATTGATTAATAGCATTGCCAATTATTACATATTTTAAATATTACCCTGGATAAGGTCTTCAAACATTTTAATTATTCTTTTTTTTACCATAACTAGTAGAAATATACATTTTCAAAGATCACTAATTATCTTCTTCACTAGACTTATCCGCAGTGGGCAGACATGGTCCTTTCATGCTCTTTGTTGTACATTTCTTGATACCACCAGGCACTTAATAAATATTATGTAAATGAATAAATGGTACTCGCTGCTTTTTCTCTTTTGCCCAAGAACAAGCCTATTCTTGAAATCCCCTAGATCATGTAGACTTTTTTGTTTGTGTGTTTCACAAACACCTAAGAGATTAACATAAGAAATACATTTTCCAGAAAAAAAATATATTTTCCATCTCCCTAATTTTCAACATTTCTTTCTCCACTGAATCCTTCCTACCAGTACCGACATGTGCCCTAACCTAACATCCTCCCATGTTTTTTTTTAAGATAAAGAAGGAGAAAAAAAGAAGCAGAAATGAGCTCTCATTCCCCACTCATAATCAATCCGACCTGGGTTTCTTTTTCCTAACACAAAACCTCTGGAGCCAGTCACGCACTAACGATCCTACCTCCCATCTCCCGAGCAAAAACCCTCGCTCTTCCATTCAAACCTCAGTGCCCAAAGTACCCCACTAAAAAAATATACATTTTCTAAAAAAGAAAGGAAAAATAAGGATACCAATTTTTCTGTTTTAGCATTCCTTGGGATTGCTAAGTAAATTCCATGGGATTTTCACTGTATTTCAAGTATTGGTTTTAAAACTTGATCTAGTATTAGGAGTAAAGTCATTTTAAAAAACAATTTGGACATTGTAAGGTATGATGTAATAGGAAGCCTATTTAAGATAGACAATCCCAAAGCATCTTCTGTTTGACCGTAGGATGTCATTTTTGTTTGTACATTTGCACATGGTCCTGTCTGATGTTCTGAACAGTAGCAAACAAAATAACAAAGAAACCGAAAAGGTCTTCTACTTTTTCAGTTCCGCCCGAATACTTGCTCCCTTATCCCAAACCTCTGCTATTCAGTCTGCTAGAGAGGATGGCCTACTGTAGTATTTTACCTGAAAGCATCTCACATTTTCCCTAGCTTCTATGTTGTTAACAGGAATAACAGTAATATTATAAAGAATTTGAAAAAAGTAGATGGTGTTCCTTTTAACTTGCTGGAAACAAACATAATAACAATTAAAATTCAAAAGAGAGGCTGTTGCCCAGTTTTAATTGCTGTATGCTCAAATAAACTCTTGAAAAAAAATTTAATGGGCCTCTGTTTACCTTTTAACAAGAATACCAACAGTGCTACTTCCTAGGGTTGCCCTTATGAGAGGAAATGAAGATTTAAATGGAGAGGACCCAGGAGCAGAGCACCTGGTAGATCTCAGGGAGCCTGGGAGGTATTTTACTGACCCCCATTTTAGAGTTGCCCAAACCAAACCTCAGAGAGGTGGCATCACCTGCCCAAGGAACGCTGGAGGCTGTGGCATGCTTCCAAGCACTCCTGGCCTATGGCACTCACCCATCCCTCCCAATCTGGAGATGACTGTCCTGAAAGAAACCTGTGCAGGCCTGCTCCTAGATGCAGAGGAAGCTGGAAAATGGAATTCTGTTCCAGGACCTTCCATTCAGAGCCCTCAGCTCCTGCCTTGGTGAGTGCTGAGTGCCGTTCCCTCTGTTCTAAAAGGAAGGAGCAGGAAAAGTGTGGCATTTGCTCCCTGCCAGTTGGAGACCCATGGTCCTGCAGCTGTTATCTCACCAGGAGGAAGCCACCCGACACAGCTGAGACCGTCACAGACCTGGAGGAGAGAAGAATTTGGTCCTCAGTGGTGATGACAGAGATGAAATTAACCCATCCCTAGACCTCCACCCCATAGCTTGGACTTCCTTTTTTTTTCTTTTGCCTTTTTAGATTTAAAGAAAGAGAAATGGAAAAATACTTTGTAAATTGCATGCTAGATAAAGATTAATATCTAGGAGATACAGAGTTCCTCAGGATCAATAAGAAAAATGCAAATACCCATACAGAATAGTGGGCCAATAAAAGAATGAGAAATATACAAAAATACACATATGGCCAATAAACATATGAAAGATGCTCTATTTCACTAAAATTAGGGAAATACAAATTAAACCATGAGATTCCCAATTTATCCTTGTGGCAGAAATTAAAGAGACAGATAATCTCCAAAGTAAGGTTCAGTGGTAAATAGGGGGGTGTGCACATACAACTGGGTACACACAACTGGAGGGAATAAAAATGGTAAAGACACTTAAGAGACAGTTTGACAGGCTCTATTGCATTTCTAAATACAAATATCCTTTGAACCCGCAATTCCACTTCCATTTTTCTGTCTAGAGAAATGTTCATACGGGTCATGAGAAGGCATGTTTTGGGATATTGCAGGGTTCTGTTCTGTTCTGTTTTTGTATCAGAAATAACCTAAATGGTATTGGCAGTAAAATAAGTAAATAGATCATCATGTATTCATCTTACCAAGAATGAATGAGAAAATAATATGATCTGGAGTTCATTAGATATCAGGATATTTATGACTGTATCTTGCCTTTAAAACTGTGTAGTATTCTACAGAATAGGTATACTCTAACTTATCTAACTGCTTCCCCATTGCTGTTCTAATGCACTCTGCACATGTCTGCGCATGTGTGTATGTCAGTGCATAGAAATTCGCGAACATCAAACTGTGAACTGTGCTTATTTCTGGGGAATGGAGTTATATTTGATGGGGAGGAGCAGTTAGAGAGGATGTGCATGTTTGATTATATTCATACATTTTTTAAAGATTTATTTATTTATTTATCTTTAGAGAGGAAGGGAAGGAGAGAAGGAAAGAAACATCAATGTGTGGTTGCCTCTCGTGAGTCCCTTGTTGGGAACTGGCCTGCAACCCAGGCATGTGCCCTGACTGGGAATCAAACCGCAATCGTGTGGTTCACAGGCCCATGCTCAATCCACTGAGCTATGCCAGCCAGGGCTGATTATATTCATACATTTTTGAAACTTTTAAAACACAAATGTATTCATGCTATAATTGTGATATTAAGTTTTTGACAATAGGACTCAAACCCAATCAGAGTAAGATAAAATAATAAGCAAAAATTAACAAACCTCCCTCTTTATCTTGTCCCCCCCTCCCCGTGAACTTTGCCTTGCCATTCAGTGTGAGATAAATGGACCATCATCTCCAGCAACTGCCCTCACTTACTGAGACTGCAGCAAGAATCTCGTACTACTATTTCAACTACCCTGAAAGTAGGATTTTCACAGTTCTGTTGAGTCAAGAAAGCCCTTTAAGCAGGCATTAAAATAATGATAAAATATAATTATAAATATGATTTAATGTAACATAACATACCATAATGTAAGAAATGAACTGTGAAGTGAGGTACAGTAAACGATACCAGGGTAGGAAAATGGCCCTAGCTGCTCCCCAGTTTCACACACTGGATCTATGACTATGTTACAGGTATTTCTCCTTGAGAGGTGATGCAAAGCTGTGAGAGATTATCGAATTCCTGGACAGTTAAATCTTTCGTGGATTATTTTCTTTTTGGATTATTCCTAGTACCTTTCAAATGTCAAAGGGGGTTTTCCCCGACTGTTAAGTATTATTCTGAGTCATCACTTTCAGTTGGTAGGAGTTCAAGGAATGCAAATTCATTTTCTATCTAAACACAGTTAGAAAGGAAAATTCCTTGAGGTAAAGAACACCTGTGAAAGCCAAATTTAAATGACCTCGGACCATTGTCATCAGGGAAAGGGGAAACCCATGTAATTGCCTTTTAGCTTCTAAAGAAAAACGTTTTATGTTTTCTCTTACAGATTTCTTCAGTATTTTATAACCCCAATGTTCCTTTCTATTCACTTAAAATCACTCCTTCAGGTTGAGCCCATGCTCTTTTGCTGGACATCAGTGAAAGTAGCTAAGAAAATCTCAGCCTTTCTTGAGGTAGTTTCCATTCTTGTCAATGTACAAACTTGGTAATTTTACGCTTTTGTATTTAATTGTTTACATATATTTTCATTTCATATTGATTTAACCTTCATACTTACTATTTTTAAATTCACTATGATAGTTTATTATAAGAGCTGACTTGTCCACAATGAGTCAGGCACTCTATCAGAAATTTGACACATATATTATTTATTTACTCCTCACAACAACCCTGCAATATAATTATTCTTAATGTATAAATGAGGAAATTGAGACTGAGAGAGGTTGTTAGTGGGTGAATTGGGATTTAGTCATTTATTTCTAATGAGCATTAGAAATAATGGTCTCATTCCCAAATCCACGTAACACCGCTCTTCTTTTCTCCTTTTGGTCCGTTAGTTTGCTTAGCTCATCCCCTGATGTTAGGCATTCTCGGTGATTTCTAATTTCTCGCAGTCATAATAATATCTCAGGAAAATTGTTTTGTAACCATAATTATCCTGTGTCCCTATGAAGTTCAGTGTCTACAGAGCCACATAGCATTGCCTTAAAATGATTTAAAAAATAAATTTCAATTTTCATTTTGTTTCTCAAAGGAAAATATTGCAGAGGATCTAGTTCAAGACTTTTAATGCTTCTCAGATCTCCTTCCTTTATTCCCAGTTCTCTCAGACACTGTAACTGCTACCCAGGCAATGACGGCCTGAACACCCAAACTCCCCATAAGCCAAAACCCGGAAGCTCTTCTGTCTCCTCCCCTTGGCTCTGTCTTTCATAGATCACTGCATCCTCTTGGGCCTGTTCCTTCCCTGATCTTAGACGTTCTATTCTGGCTTCTCTCTATTCATTCCAATAATCCATCCCGAAAGGAAAGAAGTTGGAGGTAAGGATTGTACCGAAATAGGGATAGCACAAACCAGGAAACATTTACACAGGAATACATTTTATTCACTTATTTGTAAGTTAAAATTTTTTTTGGTATTTTTATTCATTTTAAAGTTTTTTCCCTCTTAAATTATAGTCTTCCGAGTGAGATTTGTGGGTCATCAAATAGATATATAATAGTAAATAGTTTTAATTAAGAAGAATTCCTACTAATTAAAAAAATACATTGTATGACTTTAATGAAGTTGACTCTCAGGCTTGTACAAAATACATTTTTGCTTTATATGCCTTTTTATGTAGTCAGTGTGTAACTAGAGTCCATTGTAAAATTCTGATTCCTTTATAATAACTAATAAATATCTATATGTGAAATGCAATAGTATACAAAATACAAGTAGCCCCAAACTTCCCTATTTTCTCCAACAGACAAAAGAATGTAAGAGAGATTTAGATTCCAGTCAAGTGTCTTATTCAGCTGGTAGGTGTTCCCATAGAGCATTTCTTTGGGGTTTAGCTAACCCTCAAGTTCTTGATCAGCCACCGATCTTGGGGCTGACTGAGGTTATCTCTGGGGGAAATTGAGAAGTAACTAAAGCTTGGTGGGCTCTGGATTACTTTGGCATCCCCTTCTTGTCTCTGAAATTCTTTGTATCCACGTCTTCCTGTTGATACTTTGTCTCCAATCACATCAATCATTTACAAATTAGTGGGATTTGGACCCAACCCACGCTCCTTCTCAGGGATATTTGTAGATAATACTGCACTTCCAGCTGTGAGCACAAAGGTTTATTTCTGGTCTTTGAGCTAGTACCCAACTAAGGAGAGGAGAGAAGCTGCCCGGGCACCTTCTTTTGATGTTGTATTTTATAAATCGGTGTTCTCTCAGTTTATGATATGGCCAGCTCCCAACTCACTTCTAATTAGCTGCAAGTGCACTCTGCGCATGCTCAGATCGTGCTCAGGTTCACGCATATACATGTGAGAAAGGGCATGTAGGTGGCAAAACAGGGAATTCACTAATTAGGGAAAGAAGTACATGGCATTCATCAGGAAATAAATCACACGACTCACTTTCTGCACCACTTTTATCTCTTCTTGGTAACGAATCTCTAGTATCAGATTAAATCTGGAGCTTTTAGTTTTCTTTTGTCTTTTTTTTTTTTCCAGTTTGACAAATGGACAGACTCTCAAAGGAGAAGAATCCTGACAGGCCTGTTCGAACGCTGCTCCCTGTCACAGCAAAAGTTCTGCTGTCGAAAGCTTCAGGAAAAAATTCCAGCAGAAGCGCTGGATTTTACTACCAAGCTTCCGAGGGTGTTATCCTTATACATCTTTTCCTTCCTGGACCCCCGAAGCCTTTGCCGTTGTGCACAGGTAAAGGCAAAGAAGCAGTGTAGGGCATTTTGTGAGACCAGCCTTGAAACTCTGGAACTTAGGAAAAACATGCACATAGCAGGTCCTCAGATAGCATCGCTTTGTTTAACTTTGTTTCAATATAACGTTGATGAGATGCCTTAAGAACTTAACTCTTGTTGCTATCAGTTAGTCTGTGGTAAAACTGGTTTTGCTATTTGACATTTCATTTCAAGTTGCAGGGCTCATGGACAACAACTGGTGAGGACTTAACTGGGCACAAAACCAAGAAATAGATGAGATAGATGGTCAGCAGGTTTAGTCCGTAGAGTTATGATTCACGACTGTCTCCTTTGTGTCTGACTTTGTATTTAGTGTTCAAAAGGGGAAAACAGTATAAAGCATCACTAATGTTCACAGAAAAAAAATTAGCTAGTTGGTGAGACAGACAGAAACCTGTAGAAGAAACGGTTCATCAGCAGAATAATCCTATATTGCACGACATGGAACTACAATAAAATCCTAAATGGTACAGTGCGACCATCTCTATATAGAAAAGCTCAAAATAAGGTGTTAATGTGATGTACAAAAGAATATGAGACCAAAAGAGTTCAGAGTGTGCAGATGTGCTCACGGATTTGGAAAGGGGTCTGACCATTATTTTCTTACGAGTAATTCCATGGTGTATTAAAGTGTAGTTAAATTACTTAAGGTATAAAACTGGTAGTCATTTTGTTGAGTCTTTTCATAGAGTCTCATAACACCAGAATTTACCTCTTAGCATGCATTCATACATGTGCAAAATGTTAACTTTCATTTTTTAAATGAAGAAAATGAATTCAGTAAAAAAGATGAATTACTTAATAAATGGTGCTGGGAAAATTGGGTAGCTGTCTGGAAAAAATCTCTAGTAGGATAAAAGATTACATGAACTCAAAGGATTTCATTAAAGTACTCAAAGAAAACATAGGAAGGGAGGACTTGGTGAGTATTTCCTAAAACCCAGAAACCGTAAAAGAAAATACACAGTTTAAATTCTTGCTTTATTGTCCTGGCTGGTGTGGCTCAGTGGATTGAGTACCTACCAGCCTGCGAACCAAGGGGTTGCTGGTTCAATTCCCAGTCAGGAATTGAATCCTTTAGTTCGCAGCCCACTTTTAATCTACTGAGCTACGCCAGCCAGGGCTTGGGAGTATTAAATTTTTTAATAAATATTCCCTTTGACCTATCAATTGCACATGTTGGAATTTGTCTGATGGGTGTACTTCAAGCAAAGCAAAATTATATCTGTGTAAGAATATTGCAGCCTTTTTTTGTAATTGCAGAAGTTTGGAAACAGTGCAAATGTCCACCATTAAGAGACTGGTTAAATAAATTGCAACAATCTCCAAAATATATCATCAGTGACAAAGGCAAAGGTGCGGGATCATCCTACCACTTGGGAAAGATAAAAGGATACATACCTACTTGTTAATGTAGGCCTGGCACGTGTCTGGAATGACACCCAGAAGCTGGTAGCAGTGGTCGTAACCAGGGAGGAAGATGAGTAAGTGGAGGACAGCGGTGGCAGAGAGACTTCTTTTTTACTGTGTGCCCCTTTGTGGCTTTGAATTTGGTATTAATGTACACTTATTACTTATTCTAGAAATGAAACAGCATGGCAGGCCCTGTTCAGGTAGCTCAGTTGGTTAGAGTGCCCTCCCCATACAGCAAGGTGCGGGTTCTATCTCTGCTCGGGGCACATAAAAGAAGCAACCAATGATTGCATCAATAAGTGAAACAGCAAATTACTATTGCACTCTCTCTCTCTGTCATTTTCTTTCTCTTTAAAATTAAAAATAAAAAGAGCATAGCATTCTAAGTGTCCAGTAATATGACAGCATTACATAGTCATATGATGAATGACTATGCACCTATTAGAAAACATGATTTGGAAGAAAAATATACTTACGATATGTGACATGAAGAAAGCATGACTTTAAATTGTATACAGACTTTACCAATTTTGATTCATACGTGCCAGAAAGAAAGGAAGGAAGAAAACAGGAAAGGAGAGACAAAGAAAAGAGCTCTGCCAGATTGTTAACGATGGTCATCTTCGATTGATGGGGTTATGTGTATTTTTTTTCTTTAAACTTCTCAGAAGTTTCCAAGCTTCCCACATGAAAATGGCATCATTCAGGGGAAACATTAAAATAGCTGTTACTGTCATTTATGGGCACCATATGTCAATCTTGCAAAATTCCGGCGTCATATTTATTCCCAGTACTGACTGTGAGAAAGACACAGATGGTTCTTCTTCATCCAGATTCAAGCAAACAATAAATTCATTGCACTGAAATGAGCTTAGAGCTGTTTCAAAAGATATGGGGTGGGAGGCATTTATAGATGTGAAAGCTTCTATCTACCCTTCAATTCTCCTCATTCCTCTACCTTAAACAAACAAGCAAACAAAAACACCAAAAACAAAAACAAAAACAAAAACCTTATCTACCCTGGCGGGTGGAAAGCCCAGTTTAAACACACCCAGGTCTAAGGGAGATTGGAAGAGAAAAAGGAAATGAGTGAGAATTCAGAAACTTTTCTCTCCATCCCCTCCCTCCCAAACCTCAAGTTTTCATTGAATTTGGAGTTAGTTAACACAGAGATTAAGGCGGGTGCTCATTCTGGATTGGACAAAGCACATGAGATGTTTGTTCCTGCCTGGGGCTCTAGCAAATTCTCTAACCCTTTTTCCCCTTTCAGCCCTGAACCTCTTATTTCTTCTGATTGTGCCCTCCTCCCTCCTGCATGTATCATGCTCTGCACAGAAAACAGTGCTAGACCTAGTAGGGACTCCATCCATGGTAGATGGAAGGAGGGAGGAAGAGCAGTGATAGATAAATGGATGTATGGATGGCAAGGTCCATTTTAGAGTGTTCTGTTATTTATATATTTTTTGGTGTTCAAAAGTATTAATCAGTTAATCATGAAAGAGAGGCTAGATTTCTGAGGCTGAAATTTGGGTTTGAAGATTAATAGTCATCTTTGCAATTCTTACAGCTAAGACACAGACCCCCTGGTTTCAACTTTATATATGAACTTGATCTTAGTTTCCAGGAAGACATACTAAAAATCTGGAATAAATTATTGTAAATGCTGCCACACACAATAGAGTCACTTCCACTACAAGCTGGATGTGCAAGAGTGACCATGATGCTATGGAAATGGAATGTAAAGGACAAGTACTTTGTGCTCTGCAGAATCTTAAAGGCTATGTAGGACATACCATATAGTATCAGTATTTGTGTTCTGTTTATAAAATTTATATTTAGTTTAATCGTAAGAGTGGAGAGAAAATAGACGCATACCATGAAAAGAGTGAACACTGTGTAGACCTGAGTTTCTATAACCCTCATATAACTTACATTTGAATTTCAGGAACCCTTAGGAAATTCCAAAGTCTATCAGAGCCTCAGTTTCCTCATTTGCAATATAAGTGATAATTATATTTACTTCCTTAGCTTGCTATGAGGATGGTGAAGAGGTGCTCAATAAATATATGTTACCTTGGATTCTAATACTGCATTAGAATTTAAAGAAAATCATTCTGCATGGGTAGGAAGTACTTCAGGTAGAAGGTAACTTGAAGCTGTGAATTGGAGGAAAGGATCAAAAAAGTTACCGAGGGTCCAGGGTGACAGCTTAAAACCCAGTGAAAGTGGACATGTAAACTGAGTAGCTTTTCCCCCTGCAACTGTGTTGTTTTCCCAGGTGAGCTGGCACTGGAAGACCTTAACTGAGCTGGATCAGCTCTGGATGCTCAAATGTTTACGGTTTAACTGGTACATCAATTTCTCTCCAACTCCCTTTGAGCAGGGAATATGGAAGAAGCACTACATTCAAAGGGTGAAAGAACTTCACATTACCAAGCCTAAGGTATGTTTGGGGCGAAGAACCACAAACTTACAAACATCCACTCTTTAGCAATTCTTAGAACTAAGGCTAAGTGAACACACTTAAACTTGGAGAAGGGAATTGGTTCAAAACAAGTATACCACGACTTCCAAAGTCTCCTTTTCTGAGAACTTAACAGCCCTTTTCAAGATATCCATGTGCATTGAAAGCCCTGGTCTGACACTCCCACAGCCCCGTTCCACCCTCACTCGGCCCAGCTCCTGGATTTCCATACCCCTGACTCATACCCCGACAGTTCTGACACTGAGACTTTATGGGGAATGGGCAGTATTTGTTAGGTATGGATCATCAGATTCTACTTTACTAATTCAAATTTTCTGTGATTCTTCCAGGTCAGCTGAAGTTTATTTTTGTGTCATTTATAAAAAAAGGTTTTCCAACAAATTTAAAATTAGGGAAGGGCATGAGGGGCATATTAAAGTACTTTTTAAGCTACACACCAGCCCTGGCTGGTGTGGCTCAGTGCATTGAGCGCCAGCCTGCGAACCAAACGGTGTCTGGTTCAGTTCCCTGTCTAGTGCACGTGCCTGGGTTGTGGGCCAGGTCCCCAGTTGGGGGCGTGCAAGAGGCAACCACATGTTGATGTTTCTCTCCCTCTCTTTCTCCCTCCCTTCCCCTCTCTAAAAATAAGTAAATCTTTTTGTTTTCAAAAAAGCTAGAAACTACCGATGACAGTTACATATAATCATAAAAAGTAAATAATACAAGAATATTTCTTCTGGTGGCTTTCTATACATTATAACCAATGTTTATACTTATTCTTATAGTCATAGTTAATTAGGTAGCTTATGGGAAATTGTTACGAGCCTTTTATTTATGGCATGGTCTGTACATATGCAGAGTTGTGCATCATTTTGTACAGTAAATGAGTTCCTGAAAAATTATGTGTAAATTAAGTTTTTAAATGATTTTTAAAACCACAGGGGTATCGTATTCTATGAAAAAGCTGCAGTGAATTCTTTTAAAATTGAAGAATCCTCTTGAAATATGAATAGTCATTTTCTCAACTGCTCAGTTAGGTTAGTTTTATTGTGTTTTCTGAAAGTAGAATCCATCTACATTTAATATAGTAATAAAATATGCATAACTAATATTGTTACGATTGCAATAATAAAACTAGTCTCTCTGATTTCAGCAATTAGTGTGCTCCATGAGGATTTCTTTAAAAACATTTTAAATGGCAGTGGTGGAAAAGTTAGTGTCAAAATTACCATAGCTATGACATCATTTCTCATAAGACTTTTCCTGAATTTCATTCTCAGTTGTGGGCAAGGAATGGCATTCAGTACCTGAAGCTTGAGCTATTCTGGGGCAGAGGAGAGGAAGGTGGTTGATTGGCCCACCTGTAGAATGAAAAGAGGTTTTGAGTATTCTATATAAAATTGATTTCAGGGCTTTGTCTTCAGCAATAACTGTTTTTTAAAAAAACATTTCCGCATAGCTATATTTAAACTAATGACTAGTTCTAAGGCATGAAAATGTTCACCTCTTTGCTTAATATTATATTTCTGAACGGACTACTTTGTTGTATTAAACTTAAGTTTTTCTGCCCTGGCTGGTGTAGCTCAGTGGATTGAGCATGGGCCTATGGAGCAAAGGGTCACCAGTTCAATTCCCAGTCAGGGCACATGCCTGGGTTGCAGACCAGGTCCTCAGGGGACACATGAGAGGCACCCACACATTGATGTTTCTCTCCCTCTCTTTCTCCTTCCCTTCCCCTTTCTCTAAAAATAAATAAATAAAATATTTTTTAAAAAAGAAAGAAAATGTTCACCTCTTTGCTTAATATTGTATTTCTGAGGGTACTACTTTGTTGTATTAAACTTGAGTTTCTCTGTTAAAGAAACAAACCTAAATTAGAAAGACAAAGGTTAATAAAATCAACTAATAATTCTATTTCTTAGTCAGGAAGACTCAAGTTACAAAGCCACCTGATGAGCATTAGTAAAGTTGTCTGACTGTGGTTTTACAGGCAGCTGTCTCGCTGCACTTGAACGATGGTGTATCAGTAACGCCCGGGAGAGTGTTCAGTGGTGCTGCACCCGGGCAAACTCGAGAGGGGAGCACAGTTTACCTCCCCTCAGGCACCGTCACATCTCCTACCCCCAGTACTTTGTACCTGGCATGAAAACATTTTTAAAACAGATGATAGTGGTTAATACGAGTCACCCCAACCTTAAAGTGAGAGGACTGGACTAGAATGATCTTTATAACGGTCTCTAAGGCCACCCCGTCTGCTCCAAGAAAGATAATTTCAAAAAGACTTCATCCAGAAAAAGAAGAGTAAGTTAAACCCAAAGTGGATAGAAGGAAGAAATAATAAAGAGCTGAGAGCAGTGAAATTGAAAACAGAAAAATCACAGAGAAAAGTCAATGAAACCAGAGCTGCTTCTTTGAAAACATAAGTAAAATCCATAAATTTCTAGCTAGACTAACCAAGGAAAAAAGAGAGAACGCATAAATGACTAGTAACGGCTGAAAGAGGGAGGCATCACTACAGATCCTGCAGATATTAAAAGGATAATGAAAGAGTGTCATGGACAATTCCATGCCCTTACATTCAACAGCTTAGATGACAGTCCTTGGAAACTGCAAATTACTGAAAGTCTCAATAAGAAATAGAAAACGTGAACATATCTTTCTCAATTAAAAATTGAATTCCTAATTTTAAAACTTTTGACAAAACTTCAGACCCTGATAGCTTCATTGGTGAATTTTATCCCACATTTAAGGAAGAGATGCCAGTTTTATTTTATATAAATAAACTCTTTCAGAAAATAAAGGAAGATAAAAATTTTACGAGAAAACAAACCAAAACCACAGATCAATATCCCTCATGAACACAGACATAAAATTTTTTAAATATTAGCCAGTTAAATCCAGAAACATATGATACGAGATGACCAGATGGGATGTATCCCAGGAGAGTAAGGTTGGCACGATGTTCAAAAGTCAGCTGTGCTCATTTTGGCAGCACATGAACTGAACTTGGAACGGTGCAGAGATTATTAGCACGACCTCTGTGCAAAGATGACATGCAAATTTGTAAAGCGTTAAAAAAATCAATCAGTGTAGATCACAGAACAAAAAAGATAAGATTTGTGAAAATTTCAGTACAGGCAAACAAAAGTACTTAACAAAAAAATCAGCATACATTCGTGACTTTAAAAATCCTCAAAAATACTAAGTGAACAAGAATTTTGTTTACTTAACACAGAAGAGTTATCACAGTTTTCATTATTACCTATTACGTTAAATGCCATATTTGTAAATAACTGTATATTTGTAAATCCAAAAGCATTTTGTATTTTTTTGAAATAATGATGTTTATTTATATGTAATTACTATCATTAATCCCTGAAGTTTTCCCCCTGAAATTGACTTTTATTATCATGTATTATTTGTTCCCAGTAGTATTTTTTATACTTTTTAAAAATCCTCATGTGAGGATATATTTACTGATTTTAGAGAGAGAGGAAGGGAAAGAGAGAGACATGGATGTGAGAGAGAAACATCAGTTGGTTGCCTCCCACAGGCACCCTGACCGGAGATGAAACCAACAACCGAGGCGTCTGCCTCAACCGGGGGTCACACCCACAGCCTTTTGGTGCACGGGACGACGTTCCAACCGACTGACCCACCTGGCCAAACCACCCAGCCAGGACCCCAGTAGCATTAAACTAGACTTCCACCAGCAAAAGCAGACAGATTTCATGCAGCATAAGCTCAGAGAAATGAAATGAATGTCTATTCTAAATGAGACCTGCAGATACTATTGAATAGTAAACCAATAATGAGCTATCGCTTATATAAATATTAACTGTCTTCTTCATCTGCCAGATTACAATTATCCACTGACTGACTCGATATTTCTAAAACTGTTCTGTGCTACATGCTGTGACTGCAGTGATCCTAACCGTGCTTTTGAGGGTAGTGGCCTAGGACACAGACAAGTGAATGAGTACTAAGCACTCTGCTGTAATAGAAATATACACAAAGCGCCGTTGAAACAAGGATAAGAAACTAACCGATTCTGCTTGGAGGGCCTGGGGAATTTCTTAATTTTCACAAGCAATTCGAGCAAACCAATTCACCAAGCAAAGCTTCCCTAATCTCTTAAAGAACAGAAAGTAAGCTTTTAATGGCTTCTCAACATACCAGTACCACTTCCCTTAGGCTACAACCACATAAAAACCTTATGAATTTCACACACACGAAAATAGACTTTCAATTTGGGAAATTAAAGCAAAAGTATTTGGGGTGAGCGGATGAGGTTTTGACAGTTGATACAATCTGTAGACTACCCCTATATAAAAAGTTGTCCATATGAGTTATAGGTAATTAGGGCTGCAGTACTTTTTTTGAATGTATACGTTTGTATGGATAAATTATTTGCGGTTGTGGAAAAACTGTAAATGATGCAGTAGAGGAGGTAGCAGCAGAGGATAGAGAGGTTCAGTGTGTGGATTTGAAGCAAGGCAGTCCTAGGTTCAAATTCTGACTCTGTGTCTTGTAATTATGTAGAATTGAGCCAATTGATTGGTTTATCCTATGTTCAGTTTCCTCTTCTTTATTTTTATTATTTTTTAATCCTCATCTGAGGATACATTTATTGATTTTGGAGAGAAAGGAGGGGGTGGGGAGAGAGTGAAAGAAACGTCAATCAGTTGCCTACTGCAAGCACCCTGACTGGGGATCGAACTCACGACCTTTTGGTATATGGGATGATACTTCAACCCACCCAGCAACCCAGCCAGGGTCAGTCTCCTCTTCTTTAAAATGGGAGCAGTAATTACCTCTCAAGTTACTGTGAAGGCTGAATCCAATAATGCATGGAAGCTTCCTGAGACAGTCAGTGATTGGCACATACACAGCAAGGGCTCCCAGGTTGATGGCTGCTGTGATCATTGTCACCATTACCAGTGCCCTCGTGGTGATGCTGATGATGGTAGTCTTTGTTTTGTTGTTGCTGTTTATGACAGTGTGTTGAGAACAGAAATAATCCATTTTCTTCCTCTAGACCCCTCCGAAAGGTGGATTTGTGATTGCTGATGTTCAGCCAGTTGCAGGCAGCTCTCCAGAGGGAAAGCAGTCTCCTTCACCAGCCTTCCGACCTTCTTCCTCTTTGAGAAAGAAGAGTCGCCCGGGGGAGAAAGAACTGCCACCCTGGCGATCCTCTGACAAGCATCCGACTGATATCATTCGCTTCAATTACCTGGACAATTGTGACCCCATCGAGCAGATTTGGAGAGGGTGAGAAGCTCTGTGCCTTTCTTCATTCGTTTGCTTTTAGAAAAAAATTGCTGGCACTTCAACATATGAAGCAATGAAAGTAGAACTTACTATGAAAATGCAAGTGCTTTTCCAAACATAGAATTAAAAAGTAGTAGAAAAGTAAAGGAACTGTTTGTTATTGGTAAATTAGCCCTGCTCATTAGGATTTGTCTGTATTTTATAGCTGTAATGAATTAACATTACAGCTTATTTTAATATTAAAAAATGTTTTATTGATTTGAGAGAGAGGAAGGGGGGAAGAGACAGAGAAAGAGAGACATCGATTTGTTTTTCCACTTATTTTTGCATTCACTGGTTGACTGCTGTGTATGCCCTGACCCGGGATCGAACCTGCAACCTCGATGTATTGGGGACAACACTCTAATCAACTAAACTACCCAGCCAGAGCTTTTAAAAGTATTTTAACACTTCAAATTTTAATCTAGCACCATAGGGTTTATTCTAGTCTTTTCCTTTTTCCACATTTGTGCCTCCCTGCCCTGACTGAGAAACCTGGCTCTCATCTATTTATTGTTTACTATATGTGGATTATATGTTATACATCATACAGTTCACCCTTAAACAATTCCAGTTGTAGGGGCACCAACCTCCATGCAGTTCAAATCTACATACTGTGTAAGTTTTGACCCCTCAAAAAATTAACTTCAGCGGGCCCTTCACATCCATGAATTCAACCAGCTGTGGATCGAAAACAGTGTTTTCCCCCTGTGGTTGGGAATGCGAAAATACTGTTCTCAGTGTGCGGGTGGTTGGGTCCATGAGTGGGAAACCCGTGGATACCAAGCGCTGACTGTATTTACTGAAAACAAGTCCACATACCAGTGGACCCCCGCAGTTCAAACCCATGTTGTTCAAGAGTCAACTGTATATGCACAGATAATTTTGATATGTGTTCTAGGTACATATAAAATTTTATATAAAAATTGTATTATAGATCACATAATATATCAATACACAGAGGAATATATCATACCATTATTAAAACAAATTTACAGACTAGAATTCAGTATTTGCTCATGGTTCTCTTTGCCTTCAGTCTGAGCATACATGCTCATAATACCGTGTTCAGAAGTTATGTGGGTAGGTGAACACCTCCTTCACTGGGGGCAGGTCACGTGGTTCTAAAGTTAAAACCACATGGAAGTGTGCAAAAAGTGTTTAAAAGGTATACTCAGAGACTTCTGCCAAGATGGAAGCATAGGTGGAAGCAATGAGCCTTCTTGCACAACCAAGTTTAAAAACAACAAAGTTTTAGCAACAAAAACGCAGCCAAACCACAGAAAATTGAACTATATGGAAGTCTGACAACAACGAACCCTTCAGCCAAACCGGTAACAGGGGCAGAGCCAGCAGCAGAGTGGGGTTGGGCAGGAAAGATTAACCAGACCGACCTGGGCACATGACCCAGGTGCACCAACAGCCATGGGCAGATCCCAGGTGTGGAGAAGCGGGTGGACCCATCCATACTGTTGCCTTGTTGGGTCCCACGGGAATCCTGTTTTTCAGAGTGTTATGGTGTAATCCTTCCATTTGAAAAAACAAACAAGTACATACATACACATCCTTTTTAAAGTAAATGGTAGCATATAATATGCACTGCTTTATCCACTTTTCTTTTCTTTATGTAACAGTACACCCTGGAAATCATCCCACAACTGTATAGAGAAACGTTCTGCCTCTCCTCGCACATCTTAGAACACCCACTGTGTGGATGTGCCAGGGTTTATTCAGCCGGGTTGCTATTGATAAACACTTAGCTTGTTTCCAGTTGAGTAAAGAAAATCTTTTAAATCATAGGAGCAACAAAATCAAATGGGCAAAGTTTTAAAATGAATATTGGTAATTTTTCCAATGCTTTCCAACTTACAGAAGGAAGAAAAGGCATGAAATGACCCCAGATTCCAGCCGGCAGACACATGATAAGAAAAATAAATTGCAAGACAGATCTAAGCTAAGAAAAGCACAGTCACTGGTGAGTATTGCTTTAGAAGGATTCCCAACGATAATGTTAATGAAAATCTCTGGGTGTCTAATCCTGTCTGCGAAACTGAATTTGTTGTTTTTAATCAGAATCATTAAGTGGTGATTTAAATTGTGGTCTCTGAAACTGACAAGCTATGTAACCTTGAAGGCAGCCTTTATTTAATCTCTCTGAGCCCCCATTCCCTCATCTGCTTTTTAAAAAATGACTAGATGAACTGATGTGTATGAATCTGCTTTGAGAACCATATGATGTAAAGGGAGCATTATTATCACCTGGTTCTTTCTTCTGCTGAGTCCTTTGTGCGGTTTGGTGGGGAGAGTTCTAGAACTTTCTCTACAGAAATTCCTTACCTATAGAGTGATGGTTCCACTGACCTAAGAAAAAGGGATGCTTTCTATAGCTTTCCTGCTACCAGTGGAGTATGATTATAAAAGTGCATTTCAAGTAACTTCAGAAAAAGTGAATTCAGAACTTTTCTTTCCCTGATGAAAAAAACAGCTAATTGACTGCCTAATAAAGTCAGTAATTGTGTCTAAGAAGCATTATCATCTCATAGCAGTTTTCCAAACTGTGGTTCTATACCCCCTGTGGATCCCCTTAGCATATATGAGTCTTTGGTGCAAAGTAGGAGGAAATAAGGGTGGAATAAAAAAAATTACATTATTATTAAAGATTTAGAAAAAAACAGGATACACACTCAAGAAAAATTAATATAAAATGGATATCCATTGGGAGAAGAAAAAGTATGTACTCATGAATAAATCACTGTGATAGCTCTGCTTTAAAGCCCTATTACTTTCTGTTTAAATTTATTTTCAAGTGTTATCATGATAAAAAAAAAAGAGAGGGAGAAATAAGCTTTTCAAATAGGGTAGTTTGTATTCCGAGGGACCAATTTTGTGGGACTGGATGAGGCTTATCACAGGCAGATGCACAAATGCCCAAGGGAGTGGGGAAGCTTAGAGCAGAGCAGTAAAATTGTCAGTGAAAACCATTAATTGAGAAAAATAACTTTATGAGGCTTACCACACAGGCCATTCAGGCGTGCTTCTGTCTGGTCTCCCCGCCCCTCGTCAGCCGGGAGTGGAAGAGAAATCCGGGAAGATCAGGGAATTGAAGGGCGATAAAAGTTGATGGTGTTGTGTGCTTACAAATTAGCAGCACAGACAACATTTCTCTAGCTTAAAAAACCAAACAACCACAACGATGAAAATCAAGGGCTAAACAGAAGCATCTCCCTGGGCTTTTGGCATTAACCATCTGTCACATACTAGCAGGGCTTGTTTAAGTTAAAATATTTGTTATAAATTAAAATTTTTTAAAGTTGCTGCTAATTAAAGCTGAAAGGGAAACCAGGGCAAATTAAACAATGATAAAGAACAACGAAGCTATTAATCAATGAAGTGCGTGACTATATTCCTCTCTGCTTGTATGGTTAGATAAATATACTACTTACATTCACTATGTATGCTTCGTAGTTTTGCTCAGAAGCATAAGGCATAATTAAACCTTCCAAATGTAAGCGATGATCTTTGACTGGGTGAGGGCCACAGGCAGAGTGTGGCTGAGGCCCCCTCTCCAGGGGGTGGCAGTTTGCCCTCACTCTAGGCCACTACCCCCTAGGAAGTAAGCAACCACCTAAGTGATGCAAAATGAATGAGAAAATGAAAAAACGCTGGACATGGGGCCTGAGAGAAGAGGAAATGGGTGCGGAGGAAATGCAGAAAGGGGACCTAAGGAGAGTCGGGAGAAGATAAAACTCTGACAACTGCAGCTGTAGAGTTTGGCAGGTGTAGCTGAGGTGCAGTTGCAATGGGAAAAAATCACGTATTCATTTTGTTAGAAAGTCGTATCATTGAGACAGGTTTATCCAGGAAGATTCCGGGGGGATCTAGGACAAAGGAAGCAGGCAAGGATGAAAGGGACAAACCCCCCAAAGCCTGCCCAAGAGGGTCCTGAGATCTGAGCACATGAGTCTTCCTTGCGCCTTGAAAACAGGAAATGGAGCATGTGATACTTGGAGAAGTTAGAGCTTTGTGAATGGAAGGACTGGAAGAGTAAAAAAAAACAAAACAAAAAACCACAAGCGTGTAAAAGCACAAAGAAGATTCCTTAGGCTGTCTCTTCAGGGCTGCATCTTTTAGGCCCCTGGGACCACCTTCACTTTTCAAGGGTTATGACTTGGAGCCTTCCAATATGAGCGTTCTCTCTAAAAGGAGAAACCTTCTTAGGGAAACAGTTTCAAATCTGCGTGTACTATTGTGAGCCGACATGATTTTGTCTATTATCTAATCGGTTTGAGTTTGCAGAGCCCACCCCTGAAGGGGGTACCTGATTTCCTCGTAGGTTTTCAGTTCTTGTGCTGCCTGGTTACAGCTGAATCATTGAACCACCTTTTGTTGTCTCCATCATTGATGGAAGATGGGGGAAGAAGCCTAGCTCTTCTCACTAATGCCTTACAATTTTGAGCATTGTTTATGGAAATTCTGTAAATATCAGGAAATGCCCAACTATTAGTTATTATAAAATTCCACCCAGAACAAAGCGATTTAAAAATATAAACAACACAGTAGAACTAAAATCAAAACCATTTTAATTAAACTCCAGAGATTTTCCCATCTTGTGTAAAGGTGTGAAAAATAAAACATTTTTAAATCATAACAGCTGGCCCCACAATTCCTCTTCGGGAAGGGTGAGGAGGGAGCTGTCTCCTCGGGGGAAAGCTGTTGATGAGCTGGTAGAGAAAGATGACACCTTGCGGGCTTGGATGCTGTGGGGCACCTCCAGCAGCGGAGGGGAAACCTGCTCTGCTGGAGCTTAGGGAAGTATGTTGTTTCTGCTCCAGCACAGGAAGAGGAGGGGGAGCGGGGGACCAGGGGAGGAAAGAGGAGAGAGAAGAGGGTCTGAGGGCAAGAAGCTGAGATGAGGTAGGGGAGGGACGGGGAAGGTGTTCAAGAATAATACCACCCATTCCGATCAAATGTATTTGCCATTGCTGGGAATTAAACCCTGCCTTCTGTCCCTACAGTAAATTCTATTCAATTTACACATGGACGCAGGATCTCTGAAGTCTAAAACGCCAGGAAGACGAAAGCCCCTTGGGACAATTCCCAAAAACCCAGAGGGTGGGCTTGGACTCCCTGGCCCTGGAATTGCACTCAGAGGACCCCAGCTGACATCTTGTTTCACGTTCTTTTTTGCTTTTTCCTACCAAGCTAAGTATAAAAACAAATGCCTTTTGTCTTTCACTGAACTTTTGCTTGGAGGTTAGCCGACCTCACGGCTAGGTTCTGATCTGGCCACGGATTTCACAAAGCTTGCTGTTTCAGAGCATTCATTGTCCTACAAGTAACAAAAGCCTTTAATTGCCTGCTTACTCTAATTGCTTTAGATAAGACCTTATCTTTTCCTGCACTCTGCTGATTCCAGCCTCTGCAGTTACCTTCTTCACCTCTTTCTAGAATCACTTGATTGTGATGAGTTAAAATGCTTCTTCAAGCTTTCTCATTTTTACCCCCTCTCTGGATCAAAGTGGGAAGGCACATGAACATGCCCAAAAGCGATTCCTGGTTCCTGTTACGGAAAGAACACTGGTTAAGAATTAGAAAACGCAGGTTTCTAGCCTCAGCTCCGCCATTAACTTCGCGCTCACTCAGCCTCTCGGAGTTTTCATCTTTCCATGAATCAAATGAGAGTTTGGATTCCAGCCTCTTTCAGGCCCATTCCAGACCAGGGCCTGGTCTATGGCCCCCAGAGCTTCCTCCCATTCACTCAGCTCTCTCCTGCCACCCAAGGGACAAGCTCTGACTAAGGTGACTTGACACAGAATAACCAGAAGGATCCATCATTTTGTGAACCCTACTTACGAAGCATAAAAACAGGTTTCTGTCTCCCATCTTTTTCTTTGAACCTTAGAAAACACAATGAATTGAAAGGGAAGAATTGATGAACCCGAGCTGTGCAGCGGTTTCCTTGCGGGCAGGCTTTGATAGACTTTCAGTTCCCGTGACCTCCCCGGGAGTTTGGTTTATAAAGTTCCTGTGGTTTGGGTGTGCAGAAGTAAAACTATCTACAGGAGAGATCTTTAATTATTCAGTTCCATCAGTGACATTCTTGAGAATTCCTTTGGGAAGGAAGGATAAGAAAGAATATGGGCTTTGCAGTTGGTGGGAACCTGAGTTCTTGTACTAAACTGCCGCTTTGGATAAGTTACTTAGCCTCTCTGAGCCTCTGTTTCTTCATCTGTTAAATGGGAATAATGATTGTTGTCAGCACTAACTGTCAGATATATATTAAGTACAATATATGTTTGTGTTCTCCCGCATTTGATACCATCTTACTTTTCCCTTTGCTGACCAAAAGCAACAGGTTTGGGACTTAAACAGTCCACTTGTTTCATTGCCAGATACCACAATTTTGGTAGCTCAGGGAGTTTGGCCAGAGAAGCTACGGGGCTATAGACCAGGTCTGGTCTGTGGTCTGGAATGGGCCTGAACCTTGCAGAGACTCTGTTTCTGGCCTGTGAAATGGAATTAGTAACAACACCAACCTCACAGGGTTGAGAGGTGGAGGTAAAACCTTTGGTACAGCCCATAGCTCAAACTAAGCATTCAGCAAACGGTAGGTAGCAGGGGCGATGGCGGTGGTAGCAACTGTGGAGGTGACACCAAATCAAGGGCTGCGACGGCAAGGAAAGAGCCAGCTGATGGTGAGCAGGGGCTGGGAGGGGCTAACCAGGCGGCCAGAAGGCGGCTCCAACCTGCAGAATAAGCTTCTCTCTCTCCTTTTTGCCTTCACTTCTCCCCAGTTTTCTCTATCGTTTCCCTTTGTCTTTGCCCTGTCTTGTAGTTCCCACTATGTAAAATATGGTTGCATCCAGAGCTGTGTGAAATAGAAGTCAGATTCTTTTCTCTGCCCACCCGGCATCTGCTCCATCTCGAGCCCGTGTGTGTGTACACGCTTGCGCATTCGCCCCTCACCTGGAGCGCACAGCGGGTGTGTGCGGGACTTGGCGCCAGGAATTCTGTTTCTTTCTTAATGTCTGAGACCTCAGAGAGGAAAAGGCCTTATTGCAAGAATCCTGGGGGCAAAGTAAGCACTCAGGGGGGACCCCACGTAGAGCCTCTGCCTTTCTCCTTTGTCTGTAAAAGCATAGCTTGCTTGTTCTGTCTTGTCGCCTCTTCTTTTATCGAGTTATGACAGTAAATCACCCTGGTGTTTCCAACAGGAGTGACTGTACCTGCTTCTCTCTCACTGAAGAGTGAGACTGGGGCCAAGTGGCTGCTTGTTTTTATGTAAGAGTTAAACAGTGACCATTTGACCAAAATTGCCTTTTCTTCAGGTTCTATCAGAAGAGAAGAACCGTGCTTAGGAGTTATATAATATTATCAGTAATATATGTTATTTATGACATGGTAGTTGCTGTTACTACTAGGGCTGCAAATATAGAAATACGTGTATGTAAGCTATGTGTTTGTGTGCATAACATTTAGTACTGCAATGTAATATTTCACCACGAACTGCAGTAGAAACCAGTTTTCTGAGACATGGATGTTTTGAACTACGAGCTCACAATCATTACTGACAAACAACCATTGAACTTTACGGCCTACGAATATTTTGCGACACACCCCTCCCTTCTTCCACCTACTTGGGAAACTAACGGGCACCATCACATAGTCTTGGATTTAAATTTCAAAACTCTGCCTAGAGTTGCTTAGCCTTCCTCTGCAGCCGCAGCGGACACTTTTACCCCAAGGTTCCTTAAAACAGAAATTAAGGACAGGGGTCTGTGGCTTCTTTAAAACTGCGTTATTTCTCCCTAACACCTTTCCCCTGCTTCTTATAGAAGCAGAGTGGACTAGGAAGGAAAAGGAGCACCTCTCTGTAGTGTTGACCTGAGCAGGGGCCCCCTAGAAAGGTGCCAGGCAGGTCTGTGCCGCCTTCGGGGCTCCCGGGCAGGCAGGAGGATGGCCCGGGTCCTCCTCATAGAATTTCCTGATGGGAAAGTTCGTGAAGCGGCTCTTCCCTGGGGGTGAAGCCTCCACTCGACTGAAGCCAGGATGCAGTCACCCCTCGCAGACTCCCCTCTCACAAGGAAAGCCCTCTTCCCTGTCCGGGGCCTGTACCCCCACCAGCGGCTCTTACTTATCACTCAGCCCCCGACCTGTGCTCAGGCAAGTTACTGCAGTGAGTCAGAGCTGTGTTTCTAGCAGTAAAACACACACACAAACAAACAAACCTTCTGATTTTATGATTTACAAACACAGTCATCCGTGTTTATATGTAGTTCTACCACATCAGTCCTGAACTGGGAGTCATAACAAAGTGTTGAGGGTAGGTTTTTTTTAAAGGGGGACATGGGTGGGGTCTCCTACAAAGTGAAGATTGTCCCCCTCCTTACCTTTCTTTACCAGGTCACAGGCTTGGGAAGACTGAATGACGTAATGAGCACCTGACTCTCAGCCGCATGCCCAGCAGTCAGATATTTGAAGTTACTACTGGTGCGGGTGGGGGTGGGGGTGGTGTCCTAGAAGTGTTAGGGGCACGTTGCAGGGCTCTCATTGTCAATGCTGCTTTTATCCGTCTTTTCATATCCATGTACTCCTTTACCTCATCTGTTTGTGTCAGTGATCATTTGCAAATTTCTGCAAATCACACGAATGGAAAAGGACAGAAAATCCAACTGCGGAGGGACAAGACACAGGTGACCATATAGAAGCTGGCATATACAAGTTGTGCCCTGTTGATGGCCCGTCTCCGGCCTTAGCCTCCTCTCTCCTGGGTCAGTCAGCCTCAGTGGCCTCTCGCCATCCTCACTCACTTCCTTCGGCCCAATAAAATGGCATCCAGCCTGAAGACAGGTTTTCTGTCCTGTTTCAAAGTCCACCTGCACGGTGGGTTCAGCCATTCCTCTGAAATGGAGAAAAAAGGGAATCCTCTGTATGTTCGTTCATTTACCCAACAAGTACTTTACAGGCACTGAATTAGGAGCTAGGGGTACACCCATAAAAAGATACAGTCTCTGACCCGCAAATACTTCCAGGAAGAGGGTGAGGGAGGAAGCTTCAAGTCAAGCAAGGGGTAACTCCAACGTATCAGGGTTGAGAGATCGTAGTAATGTCCCTGCCACCGCTCCTGAGACCACAAACACAACAGGACATGCTAGGCGTGAGATAGCAGCCGGGCGGCACTTACACAGTCAAAAGAGAATTGAACATATCGGCCAAGACCTCAGGAGGGAGAGTGGGCGAGAAATGTATATCCAGCAATCGCAGATTCCGGCCCTGGTTGGCCAGGAAATGAACCTGGAGGATTCCTGATGGATAAAGCGTGGCCTTACATTTCTCTTCTCCTGTGTCCTTTCATTTAAAGACTTGATAACAACATGTAGAGATATTATTAACTGTTTCTAGAAGAATAACAGCAAGTTCAACGGATGAGAGGCATCTGTTTCAATCACCTTATTCCATCCCTCTTCATGGGAACAGGCTGAAGAAAGGAACCCTCTGTAGGGATGCTCCAGGACTTGGCTTGGGTTCTCGGTACATGGTGTGGCTGTGGCCACCGTCAGCCTATCAGAAAACAGGCGGGAGGAGAGGGGCCTGCACCTACGTGAGGATTATTCGTGTCAGTATTGTTGTGTGAGCAAAAGCTTGGGAACAGCTCAAATACTTATCATATGGTTCATCCATAAATGAACTAGAGCACAACCATTGGGAGACTGAGGAAGTTCTTTTAAGTACTAACTTGTATCAGTTTGGAATTTACGAGGGTTTTAGCAGTTCTGGGCCAGGCACCAGGGACTCGTACCCAACCTTGGAAAAAGAAGTTTCCTGTTATGTCTCGATTGTCAGATGCATTTAGACCAAGATCCAGGACTGTCAGATCTGTACACTTTTATATAACTTCTTCATGTTTCCCCCTTAAATCTTGTCTTTTCTCTTGTAATGGTGAGCATTAAAGTCTTGCAATGAAGAGGGTCTGTGAACTTGCCTTTAGGAGCGCAAGGCAGTGTGGAAGGAAGGAGACCTACTTCTCAGAGCCCATCTTGAAGGGAAGAGAAACTGCGCCACCCGGATAGGCCGAGACCATGCCAAGAGGAGGGGTGGTCGGGGTGGCCCCAGGGACCTGCAGCGGAGGAAGGGCCGGCTTGAGAGGAGCCTGCCTGGGCCTGTGAACCTCCCTGGGGGACTCGGGAGAAAGAGGTCCTGAAATGCAGTGATACATAAGTTTCGCACCATAATAGGATTAAATTTGAAATTGTTACAGGTAAAGTGTGACAAGCCCATTCTTGAATCAGAGACCTAGGTGTTTTCCTTCACTCAACAGGTATTTTCTTATTTTCATTACTACAAAAATAGCAAGAAGGAACACTTCTATTTGTTGTCTTACCTTATGCTGATATTAGGGCGGCACTGAAAACCGGGGAAGATACGGCTTATTTCCCCCCTCTCTTCCTTCTTTCCTCTTCAGTTCTAACAGCTTGCTGTGTTTAAGCCAGTTTGACCCACTCTTTCCCAGAAAAACCAGTAAACATACATGGGTCTGTCTGCTGGAGGCAGACAGTCATAGTTTCAAGGTCGGAGATTGCAGCTTTGCTCCTAGGGAGCAAATATGTTGCGTTTTCATCAGAAGACAAATGACTACATTGGGAAACAAATACTACATGCCAAGAGCAACAATATGTTCAGTGCTAAGTCAGAGGCCTCCATGGGAATCCAGCTGAGGCAGAAACCCCAGCGTCAAGACACTCAAGTTTCTCAGAGAAGGTGGGGCTCGAAGGACAGGTTGTATTCGTACTTAGAGGAGGAATAAAGAGAGCACTGGAGGTAAGACCAGCCGGTGGGGTGCATCTTTGAGGAATTACAGGGACCCAGTTCCCAGGGGAAGAGGTCAGGAGGCAGGTGGCACAGGCTGATGCAATTTCTGATTCTTCCCAGATTCGTAGAAACCCCATGTGTTGCAGACACATCTATCAGAGAGCATTAGAGGGTTGTAACCAACAATATGATTGCCCAGACTTGCCAGCGGAACATGGGACAACAGGAGGGGGATCGTGTTCGGGGCAGGCCATAGTGTCTGTGTGCTCAGTCTCTTTATGTCTCTGCACACAGCAAAAATAAGGGTGTATTTACAAGTTCCACGCAAGCTCAGCTCGCATTATTTCTTTCCATTCTTTCCTCTTCCCTTTCCTGCTCACGGCCAGATGTCGAGGAGAAACCCTTTCTCACTGTGAGTTTCGGTTGGAAGGTCACCCTGTGAGATTTGCCTTGTTGAATGTGTGCATGCACAGATAGCGGGGCATCAATGTGGACACTGTACGGATCCTCGCCTGGTCCAAGAATCACAAGTCTCCAGACCCAGCCCTAACACCTTTCCCTCCTGTGAACGTGGGCTGCCGCTTAACCTGCCTGCTTTTCCGTTTCCTTGCCTTGTAAGATGGAGAGGTTAATACCTCCCTCCCTGCCTCACAGAATTTCCCGGGGTTTCCAATGAAATCATGGCTGTGAAGGCACTCTGGAGATGAAAGGAGTTATTATTAGTAAGGTGAAGAATGCACTGGATAAGGGGCAGTGCAACTGGCGAGTCTCAGTAAATCCCATCCAGGCCTGTGCTTTTATTCAATTGTTTGACCTCATTAAAACATGTTTAATTATATAGCTTCCTCTTGATGTGTTAATGACTCTCACTCTGCTGATCTCTGCTTCCTTCTTAGCTGTCCCTAAGTGCAGAACCCAGCTCCCCTCTGCAAGTTCCAGCTCGTCCCGCCTGGCCTCCCCACCAGGGGGCGGGGCTCCCCGCCGCCGGGGCGGCGGCAGCAGCAACGCCAGCTCTCGCGCAGAGCATCTTCAGAGGCACTCTGGCCTTCGGTCGTTACCCATCCAGGCTCCGGAACTGAAGCTGATTTAAAGGTGTGAAAAGATTTTTAAAGGAACGACAAGACGCTCCACGCCTTGAAGCGTCGATGTTATGTGGCTTCTCTATTAGAAACTGTCCGCTTAGGTTCCTTATTGTGAAAGTGAGTTCTACAGTGTTTAGCAAAAGGTATTCATGGCATAAATGTTGATGTATTTACAGACGTCAGTGGAAATGTGGTGGTGGCTACCATGGGGTTGATAAGGGGCCGTGCGATAGCCCCGGTGGGTTGATAAGGGGCCGTGCGATAGCCCCGGTGGCGGTATTGGGCGTAGGAGGCAGGGTCCCCCACTGATACCCTCAGCACACTCCCAAGGCTGCTTGAGCAGTTTAATGATGGGGCTGTTGCCCTGGTGTCTTAACTTGCTAGGCCTTCCAAAACAAAGTACCATTGCCTTCGTCCTTTCCGGCTGCTGTAACAAAAAGCCTTGGGGGGGTGGGGGTGCGGGGGTGGAGCTTATAAACGACAGGCATTTAGGTCCTCACAGTCTGGAGGCTGGAAGTTGGACATCAGTGTGTCATCAGGGCTGATCCCTTGCAAGACCTCTCTCCTAGGCTTACAGATGGCTGTCTTCTTGCTGTGTCCTCCTGCGTGTCCTCTCTGCGTCCCAATCCCCCCTTACCATAGGGACACAAGTCAGACTGGGGGAGGGCCCACCCCTGTGGCCTCAGTCAGCCTTCCTTACCTCTCTGAGGACCCTGTCTCCAAGGACAGTCACATGCTGAAACCCTAGGGTTAGGGCTTCAGCACAGAAACTGCATGGGGTGGGGAGGGAGGGGCACAGGTCAGCCCCAAGCACACACTGGGCAGGATTAAGAGAACCAAGGTGAGGCGGTGAAGCACCTAGGAACTAGCAACCGCAGCAGCCTTTGTCATCCTTTGGTCTGAAGGGGCAAAAGGGAAAGGACCTGTGGTTCCTAGAACCCAGTGAGAGCTGTGGCCCCGGAGAGAGAGGCTGCCCAACAGGATGTATGTCCCATTGCGGGGAGCACAGCCCAGGGGGAAGGGAAGAGGGGGAGCACTCAACCTCTCTCCCCGCCACCTTGGACACTCCAACAGTACTTCCCTTGGGTCAAATTCCCCTGAAAGTCCCCAGAGATGCAGCTCTTAGTTATCAGCCTCCAGGCAGGGAGTGGAGCTGGGGGTGTGTGGCCAGGAGTGACGGGGAGGGGAAGGATGTGAGTGCCAGGGTGAAAATCCAGCACCGTGGGGCTACTGCGCACATTTCCAAAGGCAGGATTATGGTTGATAGTCAAGCCAGGGATGGGCTTTAAAGAGTTATTGGAAAACAGAAAATGTTAGTTAGCTGCAAAAATATTAGTCATGCATCCGCAAATAAACCATTTAAGGTCATGTAACCATTTTAAGGTTTGAGAAGCTACCAATCTAGGATACCAACTCTCCTAAGTAGAGCAGAATGATAGAAAAACAAAGATGTATTACGTGGTGTTTAACACACTTATGTTACTTTATAATGCTATGTATATATATTTTTTCCAATGGTTTAAAGTGGTGGCCTGGCATGATAGTAGAGAACAGTGGTTTGGATGCCCAGGTGATCGGCGGAGGACAAAACATGACCAACTTCCAGCTGATTAGTTGGCACTACTCAAGAGTGAAGCTCACACGTGCCTCAGAGGCAGAGAAGAAAGACAACACACCTAGATGAGAACTTCTGATCGTCCCACGGGCAAAGCCGGTGCTGTCACTTGGGCTTTCCTCTTCCTGGAGCCTGAGCCCTCCTGGGCGGCTCCCAGGAGCCAGGGGCAGCTGTGTAATCTGGGGTGGCCTGCAGCTCCGGGATTCTGCACAGACTGGCCCCGTAAACTCCTGCGATTATTGCAGGAGCCAGTCATGTTGCAGGGGAATGTTTGAGTAGGCCAGTCTGGAGAATGACCCCAGCTTGTTCTGAAACAGACCAGGATCTTCTGGAGCAAGGACAGACCAAGAGGAAGATGGTCCCATCCAGTATGAGTGGCTACCTCTTGTCTGAAGCTGCATTCCGGTTCTCTGTTTTTTATGGAGTTACTCCCAAATGTTGTTGCTTGTAGCAGCAGCCTGTTGTTCTGGTCATGACTCTGCAGTTTGAGGGACTCTGGGGGACAGCCTGTCTCCAATCCACCCAGCATCCCCTGGACCCTCCTGGTGGAGGGCTGGAAGACCCACGTCCAAGATGGTGTAGGGACTGGGCTGGAAAGTTGGTGCTGGCCATCCACTGGGGGCTCGGTCAGGGCTGAGGGCAGGGGCCTCTGCTTCTCTCCATGTGGGCTGGAATTCTCACAGCGTGGGCTGGCTTCTAAGGACAAGCACCCCAAGAGAACTAGCTGGGATCTGAATCCCCTGTTTTGTCCTGGAAGTCTCCTGGTGTCACTCCATCCCCCGGTGATCACAGAGGCTTGTCCACTGTCATGCACAGTGGACACAGTCTCGGGGGAGTTAACAGGTTCTGGAAGAAGATGTGGGATGGGAAATATAATTGTGACCATTGTGGGATAGACTCAGGATGGCTCCGTGTGTGACCTTTACTTACCCATCATTGGTCACGGCACAGTTACACGAACGGGGCGTGTACCCTGTATTAACCTGCTCAGGCTGCCTTAAGACAATACCACAAGCAGGGGGTGGAGGGGCGCTGTTGGTGTCTGGTGAGAGCTTGCTCCCTGGGTGGCCTTTTCACTGTGTGGTCACGTGGTCTTTCCTTGGTCCCAGTGCAGAGACGGAGAAGATTCTCTCTCTGGTGTGTCTCTTATAAGGACACTAACCCTATCAGTTCGGGGCTCCACCCTTACAACCTCATTTAACCTTATTTACTCACCTAGAGGCTCCATCTCCACACACAGCCACTCTGAGAGTCAAACCCTAATGTGTTTGACCCTGAACAACTGCTCTTCCCGTCATGGTACTTCCCTAAGGAGCACTGCTTTCTACCTGACAGGCTATTGTGCCACATTCATCCCCCCGCCTTGATTTCATCTTTATTCAGTACTTGAGAAGGATGCACACCCTTCGAGAGGGACTCCATCCCTGCAGCGCTCCAAGTGGCCAGCTGAAGGCTCTTCCAGGAGCAAGGACTGACTGCAAGAGAGCTTCTCAACCCCTTGGAACTGGTCCCCACACTGATTATACTTGCAGAAACCCCCAAGCCAGAGCATGTATGTAATTATCTTTGTGAGCATCAAGGCCAGAGGAAGCTCTGGAGATAGTGTCCCAGTCAACAGCCAGTTTAGAGACAGGAGACAGTGCTGGGAGACGAAACTCAAGAGGTGGGTGGCTGTGGGAAGGACACTGCAGGGAAGAAAGGGACATGGGATGAGTTCCCAGGGCCTCTCTCCAAAAGACAAGGTGGGCCAGTGTGGCTCAGTGGGTTGAGCACCGACCGGTCTGTGAACCAAAAGGTCACCAGTTGGGTTCCTGGTCAGGGCACATGCCTGGGTTGCAGCCCAGGTCTCCAAAAGGGGGTGCTCGAAAGGCAACTGATCCATGCTTCTCTCCCTCTCTTTTCTCCCTTCATTCCTCTCTTTCTCTAAGAAATAAATAAAATCTTAGAAAGGGAGTGCTCAGGTGAGTGTGTTTAAACCTTAGAAGGGGTGACGGACACCCGACAGCTAGACCTGTGTGGCGCCTACGTGGGGCTGCCCAGTGCCAGCTGGAGCTTTGTTTTAACCACCCAGCTTCACATTTTAGTTTGAGCCTTGATTTACCTCCTGTGAAGTATTAATCTTCTATAGTCACACAGTAATCTATCCATTTTCCTATCGTCTTTTACAACGGTTATTTCTGCATGTATTTTATGACCCCGCCCCATCTAAATCTGGAATTCTTCAAAGGATACCCGTGTTGCTTTCTCCATACTCTCACATTTTCTGCTGTGCAGTAGGCACATGCCAGGAGTTTGTCGTCACTGGCTTCTCTATTCACTGACACTGGCAGAGAAAGGACACAAGAGGGCGCTCCTTTGCTTCTAATCTGAGTCCAGAGAGCTGAACGTTTTTTGTCCATTTTAGGTCTCTTGAAAACTCAGACATGACTGATGGTGAAAACATTTTTCACTTGCAGGGAGAGATTTTGGGGAAAATTTTGAATATTTAAAGCATCACACTTAGGGAAATATTCAGCTTATTTGAATCGATACAACAAATATTCATATAGTTAATTTTTGAAGAACTCAGTCTAAGGAAGAAATACACAGGAGAGAATAGCCTAAAAAACTGGAATTACAGTGTTTTTCTGTGTGTAAGCTCCCACACTTTTGTGCACCTTATACATGGGATTAGTGTACCCATTTTTATATCCATGGTATGTAATCATTATTCCCATGTATAATGCACATTCTTATTTCTCCCTCAAAAATTTTGGCAAAAACATGCTCACTATACACAGAAAAATACAGTACCTTCTTGGAAGGCTTGATGAATGGGCTAAGAACCCAACTGTATCAGTGCCAGCTGGTGATGTTGTGAGAGACTGTGTTCAGTGCTTGTGAAGTTTTTTTAAAGACATCCGATGTATCTGCCCACATCATGATGGGTGATTTACAAGCTCACCTGCCTGCACCATGCTGAGTATACAGCAGCTTTTGACCAAAAATGGCATCACCCCTGTGCCCCACCGTCCCTACGCACCCAATCTCTCCCCCAGTGACTTTTTCTGTTTCCTTGGATGAAAAAAAAGTCCTCAAAGGGAAAAGTTTTCCAGTGTGGAAGAGGTGAAACAAAAATGGCAGAAGCACCAAAAGACATAAAAATCGGAGTTCAAAAACCGTTTCGAGCAGTGGGGAAAGTCTCAATAGGCATATTGCATCACATGGAGAGTACTTTGAAGGTAACCAAAAATTAAACATGTAAGAATTAATACACAATGTTTATAAATAAATTCTGGTTTTGGGAGCGTGCCCCCTCATATATTTATGAAAAGTAACCAAACCCTTTACTCCATTAGGATGACTTATCAAAAACACAAAGTGACAAGTGTCAGCGAGGAGGTGGAGAATTGGAGCCCTGGTGCATTGCTGGCGGGGATGTGAACTAGCTGCTGCTATAGGAAACTGTGGTGGCTTCTCAAAAAATTAAACGCAGAATTGCCATATTTCAGCAATTCCACTAGTGAGTATATACCCAAAAGAATCGAAAGCAAGGATTTAGCAAGATATTTGTGCAGCATGATTCACAGAAGCCAAAAGGTGGCAGCAACCCAAACAGTCATCCACAGATGAATGGATACACAAAAGGCAGTACACACACAATGGAGAATTATTCAGCCTCAAAAAGGGAGGGATTTCTGACACACGGTACAACGTGGAAATGCAAACCGAACCACAACGAGATTTCACCTGACACCTGTTAGAAAGACGACAAAAGGCAAGTGCTGCTGAGAATCTGGAGAAAAGTGAACCTTATACACTGTCGGTAGGAATGTAAACCATGTAAATTGGTGCAGCCACTGTGGAAAACAGTATGGAGGGTCCCAAAAAATAAAAAATAGAACCACTATATGATCTGGCAATTCCACTTCTGAGTATATATCCAAGGGAAATACAAAAGGATATTGAAGAGATAATAGACATGCCCATATTCATTGCACTATAAGTTACAGTAGCCAATATTTGGAAACAAACCAGGTGTCCATGAACAGATGAATGGATAAAGAAGACATGGTCTGTACTATGTACACGGAGTATTATTCAGACACGAGAAAGAAGGAAATCCTTACATTTGGGACCACATAGATTTCCCTTGAGGGCATTATCCTAAGTGAAATAAAGCAAAGAGAAAAATGCTTTATGGTATCACTTATATGTGGAATCTTTTTCTATTTTAAAATATTTTATTTATTTATTTTTAGAGCGAGGGGAAGGGAGGGCAAAAGAGAGGGAGAGAAACAATGACGTGTGAGAAAACCATCGACTGGCCCACAGCCCGGGCATGTGCCCCGACTGGGAATCAAACGGGCAACCCTTTGGTTCTCAGGATGATGCCCGATCCACTCGGCCACACCAGTCAGGGCTAGAACCTTTTTTAAAAAGTAAAACTCATAGAAACAGATCATGGAAAAAATGGTTGTCAAGGGCTGCGGTTGGGGAAAAGGAGAAGTTGCAAAAAGGGGACAAACTCCTCAGCCGTAAGATGAAAAAGGCCCGAAGGTCTAACATATAGCGTGGTGACTCCAGCTGATAACACTGTATTGTTTAATTGATATTTGCTAAGAGAGTAGAACTTAAATGTTCTCATTAAAAAAAGAAGAAAACACGCACGCAAACAAAAAAAAATACCTCTGCATGTTTGAAGATGCCCAGGTGTTTCTTATGCCCTTCGGTGGTTGAAGAATATACTGCCGTGTGCCGACCTGTCCTTCTCCACGCACTCTCCAGCACGAGAGGCGAGATCCCAATTTTAGAGGCGCTCGCTAAGTACAGAGTAGCTTTGGCCCTTTAAGGCTGGATGGGGTTCGTATGGGCAGGCATAAGCCAGGACAAAGTTCCAGGGGAATAGAATGGTTTGTGTAAAGCAGGAAAACAAAACAAAACAGCAAAAGCGAACAGAGATTAGACAACTTTGAAGTCAAGGATTCCTGAAGGGGAGCAGTAGTGATAAGGCTGAGAAAACCCTGAGTAAGAGGCCAAAGTATTTATTAGGGAGTGCACTGTTTTCTCTAACTCGTTCACGGTAAAATGTTGATATGTTTCGTTCCATCGACCACAAGAGGCAATTTTTTAAAAATTCTGAGGACATGCTTATTGATTTTACAAGGAGGGGTGGGGGAAGGAGAGAAAACACCAGTATGAGAGAGAAACATTGATCGGTTGCCTCTTGCATGCCACCCCACCGGGGACTGAACCTGCAGTCTAGGCATGTGCCCAGACTGGGAATCGAACTTGTGACCTTTTGGCTTATGGGACAACACTCCAACCAACTGAGGCCCATGGACCAGGGTGAGAGACAATTTTTAAGAAAGGCGATGACTATACAGCTGACATGCATTACAAAAGTCACAGCCACCAGCACGTGTGCCCGGGAGAAAACCAAGTTGTTGAAATGCGACCTGCTACTGCAAAATCTTCGCTATTATTTATGTGGTGCTTGTTCATTCAGTTCATCCTCTGCTAATGCTAGCAGATAAAAGCCTGGATCCTTGCTACAGTGGAAAAAAAAGCACGGGGTGGGGGGGGGGGGGAACCTCACAAGCTGAGGAAATTCTACCCGTTAAGTTTTCTTTTCTCTATGAATCGGGAAAAGGTCATGGTTATTTGATACGAGGACAGACCGCCTTGGTTCAGCTCATTGAACATCAGACTTCTCAGGGGCTATGATTAAGCCCTGCTGCTGACCGTGGGAAGCGAGGCCCGAAAGGACAAGTGTGTGCTTTTAGGCAGATTACTCTGGTAACTGTATATAGGATGGCTGTCGAAGGCAGCAGCCAAAAGACAGGAAGACCAGTTAGTACATGACAGCAATCAACGGTGGCGATCGGACTTGAGATGGAGTAACAGGACCTTATGTTTACACAGCACTTGATGTTATACAAATTCTTTTCACAGATACTCCTTAAGATGATTAAGTGAGGCAGGAAGTGTCATTTAATTTAAAAGGTGGAAGTTTAATTTAAAAGGTGGCTAAGTGAGAGATCTTTTCAAAAAAATAATCAACAGACTTAGTGAATGGTAGGCTGGTAGGAAAGGGCTGGGAGGGAAGAGAGAGGAATCAAAAATGATCCCAAAGTTTTTGAACTTGGGTAATTGTGAGGATGTTGTTGCTATTAACACAAACCTAGCGGAAAAGCTGATTTGAAGGGTGGTTGGTAATGGTAACTTTTTTATTTTGAAATAATGTCAAACTTACAGAGAAGTTACAGTGAAAGAATAGTACAAAGTAACGACCACGTCCCTGGGCCCAGAGACTCATTCAACTCACACCTGTGATCTCAGGAACGTCCTTTACAGCAAGAGGTCGCAGCAGGGGTCACGCACTGCACCCACCTTCCTGTCTTCCAAACCTTCTTCAATCCACAGAAGCTCCTCCGTCTTCCTTTCCTTTCCTGGCCTTGCCTTTCTGTTTTTCAATGCTACAGGCTATTTTGTAGGCTGCCCCTCAGTGTGAGTTTGTCCAATGCTTCCTCGGGATCCAACTCAGGTTCTGCATCGCTAACACACTGTTTTCACTGGGGCATCCATCAGACGGAAGGCGCGCATGTCAATTTGTCCCACTAGTTTCGTTTTAACTTTCAGGATTCGACTAACATGGCGCCCGCCTGTCTTTCCCTTGGTGAAGTTACTCCCCGCCCCCCATCTGGTTACCAAAATATTTTGCGAGGAGCACATGGAAAGGGTGCGGCGAGGCTGGCTTGGGGATGGCGTATCACCTGTACAGCTGCGCTGAGTCCCAGATTTTGGATTACTTTTTGCTTAGCTCCTGCACTGAAGGAAGGGAGAAAGACAGGCAGGATGGAAAGGACAGGCAGACATACATTCTGTTTTTGACTCAGTACATTTGAGTTGCCAGGACACCCAAGAGTTAGAAAAACAAAACTAAGGCTTGGGGGAAATCTGGGCTGGAGAAGAAGGCTGGGGTGTAACATGCACAAAAGTGGTGACTGAGGTGAGGAAGACAATTTCTCCAAGAAAATTAGGACGGAAACGAGAAACTGAGGACCTAACCTTTGGGAAGGCACAGAGATGTGCAATAAAAAGAGAAGGGGAAGCCAAAGGCCGTAAAGAAATGCATTAGAGAGCCAGGGAGATCCAACGGTGCCGAGTTACAGAAACCGAAGGGAAGGGGGTCAGATAAGGGAACCGGTAGGCGCCTAGTCAGAGCTTTGGGAGGTTGGTGGTGCAGCAGGGAAGGCAACCAATCGGTGTTTCTCTCTCACACTGATGTTCCTCTCCAGCGCTCTCTCTCCCTCCCTCCCCTTCCTCTCTCTCTAAAATCAGTAAACATATCCTCGGGTGAGGATTCAATTAATAAAAAAATAAATAAAAGGAAAAGATCTCCGGTTCTAATAACTAGCCACAATGAAGAGGCTGTTCTTTTAGCCATTCAACAAACATTGGTGCGTAGGGTAGGCCACAGGCTTGAGGATAGAAAGGGTGCTGGCGAGGCGGGCTCCCTGGGCACACGGCCTGTGCGGGCACACAGGTCCTGAGCTCAGGAGAGTTCTGGGCTTGGTTTCATGCTCTGAAATTCTTAACACTTGAGAAAGAGGGCCTGCGTTTTCATTCTGCGCTGGACCCTGTCCATTGCGCAGCTGGTTCTGGGTGACGAAACAAGTGTAAACTATTCTTTCCTTTGGGAATATTTATTGGTGACAGTGACAGAGGCCAGTATCTTGTCCCAGTGGCAAAGTAGAATTCAAAAGTAATCGGGCTTATATGTTGGCAGACGGCAGAGGTGGGAGGAGATTACCGAAACTGGTGGAGATTTACAGAAGAGGGGAAAGATGAGTTCAAGGCCCCTGGTGAGTCAGACTTAGCCTTGGACTGGAGGAAAGTGGAGGCAGAAAGCCAGCCAACAAGCAAGCACCGACACACAATCTTGTCTGGTGCCTAGGACCGCGCGTGCCTTAACGATCGAAGGGGCTCTTGGACTGCCCGCAGAATCAGGCTCCAGGGCGCACGGGGCAGCCTCCCCGCCAGCCCACACCCACGCCGAAGCGCGCACAGCTCCACAACTCGATTAGGAGCCTCCGGCCGAGTACGACTGCGAGACAAAGGGGCTGAACGAGCAGCAGGGAAGGCCGAGCGCCGCGGCCGCGAGGCGGGCTCCGGGTCCCCTCGCCTCCGTTCGGTCCCCTCCGCAGGGCAGGCGTCCAGGGGAGAGAGGGTCCTACTCCATTCCTGACCGCAGGCCGACCGAGGGTGGCGCAGGGAGGCCTCCGTGGACCGCAGCACGTCCGCGCCACCTTCCCGGCCGCGCGCGCCCGGAGGCCAGCTGGCGGGGAGGGGCCTCGTTTTCCCTCCCCCGCGCCCGCGATTCTGCTGGCAGCCGCCAGGCCCTAGGCGCGAGGCCGGGGCTCCCGCTCCGGGGCAGGGCCGGGCTGGGCGGTGCGGGCGGTGCGGGCGACGCGCCGGAGGCCAGCGAGCCCCAGCGCGGCTGCGCTGCAAGGGGCCGTCCCGGCCACAGCTGCTGGTAGGACGCGAGGGAACTGCCTCTTCAGCACCCGCGGTGGGGGGTGGAGGGGGTGGGAGGGGAGGTGCAGAAACCAGTCGGAGCCAGATACCCCCCTTCCCTGTTCGCCTCGGCCTCTCAAATCTTCCTTCCTGGAGGCCCTGTGCAGCCTTCAAAACTTTTAAGAGGTGGCCTGGAGGAAATGAACCCGATTCAAAGCGTAGAGATAGAAACCGAGAACAGTAGAGGCCGGTTTCAACCTCTGCCTGCCGCCGTATAATCACAGAAATAGGTGCTCGCTGCCTACACTGTGGCAAACACAGAAAAGTGTAAACATTTAGACAGAAAAAGCACCAAAATTCCGCCACCCACAAGCAAACACTCTGCGTAATGCATTTTGCAATGTTGCTGTGTGCATTTTCTTCACATAAGTGATAATTCTGGGCCCACTATTCAGTATCTTGCTTTTTTGTGCTTAGTATCTTACAAACATTTCCCATTTCCTTGAACACATCACAATATGTTTAATGGTTCTATGATAACATCATAGAGCTGGACCAAAAGTGTAACCATCTCCATTTTTAAAGGTCCAAAGGATACGAATACTTATAAAGTTCTTGATTTTCGTATTAGATTGTTCTTCAGAACCTCCATCCTTACATGTTCACTTGCACCAGATGAATGGCCAGTCTTTGTACCTGTGAATGTGGACAGAGACTGACTCCGGCCTTGAGCAGGTAACCCCACCTCTCCTAGGACCAAACCCCTGCTCTCCCCTCCTCCTTTCATTAAAAATTCAAAGAAAGATTCTCGGACTCTTTCAGCCTTGGGCGTTCAGACTATTGGAGACACCAGCCAGTTCTTGTCTCTGTTTCCCCATCACTTTCCTTTCCTGTAAAGCTTCAGAACAATACTACCCAACTAGTATCCGAAAAACCGAAGAGGATTCAGCCGGGAGCTCCTCTTCCACGACACTGCCAGTGTGTGTGGCCTGTGTCCACGTGTTTCCTGGGGAGCCTCTGTCTGCAGTGGATGCAGTGGCTCCCGTGGGGCTCGGTGGGTGAGACCTCAAAGCTTAGGTGTTCAGTAATTATTCCTGTTAAGAATCCCCTGCAGTAACAATCTAAGTGCATGTCAACAGACGAATGGATAAAGAAGATGTCACACACACACAGAAGAATTATTATTCATCCATGAGAAAGAAGGACATCCTGCTGTTTGTGACAGCATGAACGGACCTTGGAACATTATGGTACGTGAGATAAATCAGAGAAAGACAAAACTATATTTCACTTACATGTGGAATCTTTAAAAAGCCAAACTCATACAAGGAGAGACCAAATGGTGGTTGCCAGTAGCTGGTGGAGAGTGAGGGAGTAGGAGGGAAATTGTTTAAGGGTGCAGACCTCAGACAAATAAGTCCTGGACTCCTGATGCTTAGCATAGTGACTGTAGACAAGAAGAGTGTATTACAGACATTGAACTTGTTACAAGTCTAGACCTTAATTATCCCCACTTCACAAAAGAAATGGTAATATGCCCTGGCCGGTGTGGCTCAGTGGATTGAGTGCCAGCCTGTGAACCAAAGGGTCGCTGGTTTGATTACCAGTCAGTTCACATGCCTGGGTTGCAGGCCAGGTCCCTAGTGGTGGACGCACAAGAGGCAACCACACATTGATGTTTCTCTTCCTCTCTTTCTCCCTGCCTTCCCCTCTCTAAAAATAAATAAATAAAGTCTTACAAAAGAAAAATGATGATTATATGTAGTGATAGAGGTGCTAGCTGATGCTACCATGGCAATCATACTGCAATATATGAATGTCAAATCAACATGTACATTTTAAACTTACACAATATTATATGTCAAATATATTTTAATTGAAGATCCCTTATAACTGGGACCTTAGAGAATGAAATGAGTTGGAGAGAAAAGAAACAACGTTCTGCACACAAATGACCTTACTCTCAGCCTCATGCCACAAAAGAAAGTACATTCAGATGGACAAGTGCTACAGTGAAGGTAAATGCTAAATGCCACGCAGGGAGGGGGGAGTCAGGGGGAGAGAAGCATCCCCTGGAAAACTAAGTGCCTCTCTACGCAGGACTCTTGGACAAGACACAGTCCTGGAGAAATTTTAATCCCCAAATCTGAGTGGCTGGAAGGGCTCTGCATGACTGTGGTGGGAGCTTGGGCACCACTCTGTAAGAATACGTCACACCAGGCACTCGGCTGAGCACTAGCTTGCACCCTCTGAGCTTTCGGTGGTAACCACCCTTTGCGGAAGGCACGACTATGGCCCTCATTTTACCCGTGAGGAAACTGGAGCTCAAAGTGGTCTAATTCCTTGATACTCTGTAACTAGGAGCACCAGTGGCTTGCTCTCTCTTTTCTGCCTTTGCGACTGTGATGAGAGAGAGAAAGCAAATCCGATCTGCACTTTTTCCTATATTTTAAACCCTCATGACTATGTCAACCCAATCACAGCCCAGCCCTAACGGGATCAAAACATACAGCAGCAGCAAACACTTTTCATTTGTTTACTTCTGTTTGGCTGCAAGTGTGTCATCTCGGAGTTTTTCACCATAGTCTCTCCATTAAGCTGGCCTGCTTCCCTAGCCCAGTAACTTCACCTCACTTCTGCTGCTGCGCCTGCAGCCTCCTGTTTTGCCCTTATCTTTGAAGTCAGTTGTAGTGGTCTCCCCTCACCTGTGGGGGATGCGTTCTGGGACCCTGAGTGGAGGCCTGCAACCAGGGAAAGCACCGAACATAGTACCTACCATTTTTTCCCCTTAAAGTTGTCCTTATATATTAGGCACAGCAAGAGATTCACAACAATAACTAATAATAAAATAAAATAAGACCGTTATGAGTGGCTCGGGGGCTATTATTAAGTGAAAGGAGGGTTTCTTAAACCCAAGCTCCAAAATATTTCAACGGTTGCTCTGATGACCGGGACAGTGACTGAGCTACTGCCAGGAAGGCAGCATGTACAGGGCAGAAAACACGTACACGGAGGGGTGGTTCCTGTCCTGAGCAGGATGGAACAGGACGGTGCAAGATTTCATCACGCTCCTCAGAACAGTGTGCAATTTGAAACTTATGAATTATTTCTGGAATTTTCCATTTAATATTTACGGGCGTGGTCCGCTGTAACTGAAACTGCAGAAAGCAAAGCCACGGATAAAGGGGGGATTACTGTATATTGGTGTGTTTATCTTGTGTCCCCCATTTGGGCCTCTGGCCTTGTGATGCTTTTGAAGGCTACTTTATTTTTCCCAGAGTTGGCTTGTTGTTTAATGCTTCTTTCCAGTCTTCTTAAGACTATTATCCGCCCTCTTCCTATCACTAAGTCACAAAATGATTGCACTTTCAAGCTGTAAAGAGCACATCCATTGTGTAGCCATCATTTTGCAGAGGAGGTACTCTGGTCTCTCCTCCAGTTGAGTCACCAAGGCTAGGATGCAGGTCCAGTGCTCTCCTGCAGCATCTGGTCACTCACTGTGTTTCCTGGGCCCCAGCCTCCCCTGAGCTAGCATCACAGATAAGAACAGGCAACACCCCAATGCCTGGGACTGAGTGGCAACCTCTGTCTCTTTGCTACTCAGGTGGTTGCTTAGCGAATTCTTGGGCAATGTGGATTTTGCCTCTACTAATTCTGCAAAATACCCTAATAAAATGTCTTTTTTGACGAGTTTGCTCTGGCTAGCATCTGACCCTTAGTAATAATGGCAGGGAGAAGAGCAGGTACAAAGGGGCACCTTACAAAACTACTATGTCTGGCAGAAGAAACAAGCTTCGCTCCTCCTGGTCCAAGTCTTAAAGCTTCCTTAGAGCTGGAAAAAGCTTTCTTTCTTTTTTAATAATTTAACATTTATTTTAAAACATAACCACAAACATATACTATATTCACACCTTTACAATTCATTGTCAGGTTTTTTTTTACATAATATTGTTTGTATTATATTTTTATGTAATTTATGTATTGTTTTGATTCTGCAATCTGCTTCCCTCCCCTTTTAAAATTTATTAAATATATACAAAGATGCAGGTATTAAAAGTGTATAGTCTGATGAATTTTCTCAAACTGAACGTACCCAGTTACTTGCATTCAAATAGTGAAACATTTTCATCACAGAAGGCTCTTTGTACAGAGCTCTCTGTTGTAATCTTCCCTCTTTTCAGAAATTTGTCTAATGGGAAATGGGTTTTTATTTGATTTAAAGATGGCACATTCCCCAGGTTCCTAGCCTGCAAAATGCTTGTAACAGAAAAAACAGTTCTTTCCTTCTCGCACTTATGGAGCCAACTTAACATCAAGTGCATTAAAAACTTTGACTTCTTAGGCGAAAGCTTGAGGGTGGAGATATATATTTAAAGTTGGAAGAAATTTTGGAAAGAGGAGATTATGGGCAAGGTGTTATACCCCTCCAGTGGCAAATCTGGAACTGGAGGCCAGGCCTCCCAATTACCCACTGTTATTCCTTGCTTTGTTCATGTTATGAAAATAGCCATAGCTGCGAATGGAGAGGTACCTGAAGAGCTAACTAGCAAAACAGGGAAGGGGGGCACAGGTATTTCCCCTTTTCCATTCTTCCTGGGAGAATTCTGCTGCCCTCTGTTTGCTTTCTGAATAGTCTCTGACAGGTGTCTTAATCCCATAGTTCCCAGACTGTGTGCTGAGGCACCACAGGGTGCTGCAGAAAACCCACTGGGGCATCTCAGGAGATTTTAAAGTTTTGAAAGAAACACAGTGATACTTGACATCTGGTGCACGTTGCATGAGCTATTAATTATTAGATTGCATCACATTCCTTTTGATGACATCCTTTCTTTGTGAGTGGGGTTTTGCATGGGTAAAAAGAAAATTGATGGGGAAAAGGAAATGAGGATGGTTTTGTGCAATCTGATTCCAGGGTAATCAGAGAAGTTGTATAGTGAGTGCCCCCCAAGTACACACATTTCATTAGGAAGTGATTGTAGTTATTTAAGATAAAACAAAAATATCAATCTTTTAAAAATTATGTGTGTATTATTTTTGCAAATCACCACTTGGAGGACAGTTGGAGGACAACTGGGCAGAGGGCTTGCCAGGGCCCTATGCAAATGAAGGGTTCTGAATTGTTAGGACATAAATACTAATTAAATTGTTTAGATCTAAGTACTTGATAAATGGACTTGTAATTTGTTTATTTGTTTGTTTATTTATTTATTTAATTTGGCTAGAGGTCTCTGTGAGCCTTTGCCCTAGGCGTAAAGTTAGGGGAGATCAAGTTCTTCAAGTTAAATCAACAGCTGTGGTACCATTTGTCAACTGGATGTTTGCTAGTAGACCAGAGTCTAGAATGATTTTATTTAAATAGGGAAACCAAGTCTTAGAATGTAACTCAGTGGATGTTATCCAGTCTGGGCAGATCCAGGTTTTCGGAGGCCTGAAGCATATACAATTGTTGGAACCCTCCTGAAGAACAGTAATGCACAAATGGAGACTCACAGCGGGGCAGAGGGCTTGCCAGGGCCCTATGCAAATGAAGCGTTCTGAAGCTTAAGGTTCAATAGCTTGGGAGCAAATCCACCTCTGGCCACCAGCTCAAAAGTGGTAAAAATGGAATTCAAACCCAGCTTTGTCTGCTTCTCAAGACCCCAAATGGGAATTTCCTTTCCTAAAAACAAGAATAGAAAACCCAGGATGTGAAAGCCCTGGAAATGTGAGCCTAGCTGGGTCATGGCTCCCTCCTTAAGAAGGAAACCGAGAGAGGGAACACAATACCTGTATCTTCTCATTAAACAGCCGTGACAGTGGCCCAGCTGGAAGATAAGGCTTCGGTGGCAAAGCTGAGTTTGAATTCTGGCTCCACCACTTCCTAGCTCTGTTATCTGGGAAAGTCGCTTACCATCCCTGGGAGTCAGTGTGGCAACAATACCCACACCCCACAAAACTGTGTGACTTAAATCAGATATCACTGACGAAAGTGCCTGGTCTACAGCAGGCGCACAAACTCTGTTGATCTCTCTCCTTCCTCTGTTCCCACACAGATATTATGGGTATTTGGAGATGAAATAAATATAGACAAGCTGGTTGGTAGAGGCTTCCTTTGTGTGTGGGTAGTAAATGCACATATATGGCAAGCAACTGTCTAAAAAAGATGCAAATCAGACCAAGCTGGCAGATAGTTGCCTGGTATCTTGTCTTGGTTCAGTGCTTAGCTCAGCGTCTATTTTCAGGGGTTCCCCATTATCCAAAGACTAAAGTCAAAGCTCGTTGTCCTGGTATTTGAAATTTTCCCAAATCTGACCTCAATTTAACCTTCTAACATTTTCTTCCACTGTGATCCAACCCAAACCTCTCTTCTAACCTAACTGGTTTCCACGCTGACCCTTTATTATCCACACAGCCTCAGGGAAAGCCACATCCCCTGCCAGAAATTCTTTCTCTTTTCCACAGTCCTGAATCCCACCCATCCTTCGGGACCAGTCCAAGCCTTTTCTTGGCAGTGAGCATTTTCTGAGTGATCCCAGTCCCTTGGGATTCCTGTCCTCTTGACTCCTACCGCCCGTCCCGTTTGTACTATGTATTTGGGTCTTAACCACACACTGCCTTGGTTTGTTCCATAGCTTTTAGGGAGTTTGTTTTCCCTTTCAATTGCATGGAAGTTCAGTGTGGTGTCACGGAAATAATATCAGACCGAAAGCACAGACTTGGCTTCTGTTTCTAACTTGCTATATAACCCCAAGCAAATAGCTTCCTTTAACTCAGAAGCGAGGGGTCTGGATATGGAAACTCTAAGATTCCTTTTCTTAAAATTAGGGCCCTCTTCACAAAGCCCAGCTCAGTGATATGCATACACAATTCATTTAAAGAACATTCAAACATTTGTTAATCACTTATCCCCAAAGCACTAAGCGAGGTGCTCAAGGATGAATAAAGGGGGCTTTTAATAAACCTTTTTTTGTTTCGTTTTGTTTAAAAACACAGGGCTTACTCTCAAGCAACTTAGGAGGGGGGACTTGTGGGATTTACTGAATGGGGTCAGGAGCACAAAGGTCAGGGACTGGTGGAGTATCTGCCTGATCCTGCGTCTGGTGGATGCCTTTGTCCCCCCACACTACTGTTTGGCCCGTGGCTGACTTCATTTTCCGAATTCATTCTGTCCCCCTTTCCCAGCACCCCACCTCACACAGCTTACCAGGGCAGACCTCAGAAGCTCCCTGCCTCTGTTCTCACTGTGCCACACATCCTGTTTCCCTTGGCTTAAATGTCAGCTATACTACCCTTGACTTGGGGATGTCCCCGTCATGGCTCTCCTGCCCTCTGCCCTTCTGCTTACTCTCTGCTGGCACCTGAAGTCAGTCCTCCAAAGCTGAGCCTGGCCTGGTAGATTCATCTGGCTGCAACATATAATGGGAGGAAAGAGGGACAAAACATTAAGAAACGCAACACAGTGGTCAGCCCAGAGCAATTTCTTTGACGGCTTTATTCTATGTTAAGTGCTGTCCTAAACACTACCTATATTAACTCATTTAATCCCCACATCTCTATGAGATAGTTACTATCATTGTCCTTGATTTACGAATGTGGACCTGGAGGCAGAGAGAAGTCAGATGACTTGCCCAAGATAGCTCGTAGGTGGAGAAAAGACGAATTCTAATAGTCTGACTCCACGGCCCCCTCCCAACCTCCGGATGAAACTGCCTCTCTTTCCTGTACTCTGTGAAGGTTTCTGCCAGCTATGATCTGTTTCCTGGATCTACCTCCAGACAGGCAGAAAGTGATGCGCAGCTACATTTTCCTTGGGGGAAAGATCTGGAAGGTGTTAACTGGATAACCAAGGCAGGAGCTACCGGTTTCACGGTAGTCCACCTGCCCCTGAATTGCAGTGCAGGAAGGGGTCTACAGAGAGAAGGCCCTGACAACAGGAGGTCCGAGTTCCGCTCTTGGCTCTGATGTAGGAAATCTTTTCACCTTTCCGAACCTCAAGTTTCCCTACCATTAGAGTAAGAGAAAGGTTACGGGAGTTGGGCTCGGTGAGCTCCCTGGGAACCTCTCACATTCCGGTAACGGAGCGGTAGGGGAGAGGTGTGGAAAGACAGTACAATACAGGTCTGTGTGTGCTGGAGGACGTCTTCGTGGGCGGAGGCAGGAAGGGGTGTGTTTGTGCAGCGGGGGGCTAGTGACTATGAAAGGTTCTGTGGAGCCAGCCAGGAAACTTAAGAGGCTCAGCCGAGCGGGACTTGGAGGAGCTAGGGGAGAGCCCCGCGGCCCTCTGTGCGCGGAGGCTGCGCAGCAACAGTGACAAAGTCATCCGGGGGGCCTGGCGGAGCGCTCGCTCGGCAAGGGGCCAGAGCGGGGCCCCAGCCGGCCCAGAGGAGGAAGGCGGGGCGAGTCGGCCCTGGCAAGCTGCAATCCGGGAGGGCCCCGGGGACTGAGGGAGGTGAGGCCTAAGCTCCCCCTCCCCGCAGCCACAGCCCGCGGAGTCCGCGCAGACTCCGCCCACAACACGAGTCACGTGTGCGCCACGCACCCTCCCTCGGCGCGGGCTTGCGGAGCGCTGGCTGTGAGGGAGTGGTGTCCTAAGGAAGAAGGCTCCGGGGGCGAACTGGGGAGTGGGCACCCTCCCCGGGCACCGCCAGGGCTAGCGGATGCCTCCAGGGCTAAAGCAGGCGGCCAGGGCAGAGCAGGGCGGGGCCTGTAGTGAGGGGCGGGGCCTGTTGCTGGGGCAGGCGCAGGAAACGGGGAGGAGGGGCGGAGCCTACCGGCTGCCTGTTTGGACAGCTTGTTTACTCCTGGCGGGGGAGCTTTAACCGGGAGGGCGGGAGGGAGAGTGGGAAAACGCGGACTGGATCCGCGAGCCGCTGGAACAGAAGCGGGGCGGAGGAGGGGTGAAGGAGGGGACTGCAGCTGAGATGCCAAGGCCGCAGCGT